GTGTTGCGTTGTTGTTTGTATGTAGTAGGGGTACAAGAAGGTAATTGTTTTGGAAGATATGTATTTCATATGTCTGAACTAAAGGCTGAATCCTAGATCTGCTGAGGAATGCCCTTTTTTTTTTTTTTTTTTTTTTTTCCTCATTTGAATATCCAGAGTATAATCTTATATTAAATGCTGTTTCATATATAGTGAATGGTACAAAACGCACTTGAATACTTCTTTCATTGATGAAGGCTGTGTGATCTTTGTGTTGCTACTACGTTTGTTGAATATCTGGTGGTTGCAGATCAGAAGTCTCATGGCCAAGTGCAACAGTTTACATCATGCTGATATGGTGCTACTCCACTGAGGAATGCAGTCCAGTTAAACTGTAAAAAGGAGAATGAGGGTTTGTTTGTTTTTTCCTTTATGAGACTGCAGTACAAAGAACTGATTTACAGGATATGGGATCCAGTTTCAGCTTGTCACAGGTCAACCTCATTTCTAAAAAACAGAATAAGGTGTTGAGCCCTGGTGTTACCCACTGCAGGTACAGTAGTTTCAAATAAGATGTGTGAGTTCTAGGGCAGTTGAAAATATTCTCTAACAAAAATAGCCTTTTTGGGTGAGTCACATCTTAATCATCTGACATAACAGAAGCCTATCATCAAGTTTAAAAAAAAAAAAAAACAAAAAAACATTAAACTCAGTTGAAAGAAAATTTTGTTTTAGTTTCATATCCAGAAATAATCTGAATATTTTTTTTTCTGCTTTGCATGTATTGTCCTATGAATGGAGTTGTTGGGTGAAGGACTGCCCACCCAGTCCAAGTGCTGAGAGCTTAACTCCAGAGTATTTACCCAGCTAAGTTCCTCAGTTTCTTCAGCTTAGAATGGTGATAACACCAACATATCTCGCAGGGCATTATAACATGTGCATGTATAGATGTTTTAGCAGTGGGTAGTAATATGTGAGAATATTCAAGTGATTTTACTATAAGGCAACACAGTAAAGATGATTTGAGCAGTAGATATTTTGCATTATCTTCCTTAGCAAACTGTAATGAATATTTTTTGTAGAGTTTGAAATGGGGCTCAGGGGTAAAAGCCCGTATGGTTTGTGCAGTGAATTGTTGTACTGTTACTTATCAGAAAGCAGTGACTGAAATATGTGAGCAGTCTTCACTTAAAATTATTTTTTAGAAAGGAAAACTGTCCTGAAAGGCTGCTAAGTACTACCTTGTAGCAGCGTTCTTTGCTGTCTGTTCACGGTTTGAAGTTTTTTGGTGTGTGTTGGTTTTTGTTGTATTTTTCCTCGGCTCCCACTTAGACTCACTTGGCAGACTTCCTAATCCTGTTTGATTCACAATGTTCGGAACAACTGTGACAATGCTAACTAGCAGGACATTGCGTCACTGGGCTGATTTTTATTATTTTTCTCTTCCCAACCTCAGAGCTAAAGGTCATGTTGACAGATTGCAGGGCTGGTACACGACTGCTGGAGCAAACCGGCTGCGATGGCAGGAACTCCTTCCAGCTAGTGAGTGTCACTGTGCTCCTTCTGATCTATTGGATGCTATTAGCTGTATAATATTAAATTAACACTTTAATGCCCCCTACACTGCATGATGTTTTGATGTGGAATACTGAAACCCGAAAAAACAAACAACGTAAAACCATGACAACCTCTTTGCTTTTCTGATTCCAAAACTCCCTGCTTCACACTCCTCACAGCTTTGGATCTTGTGTCTGTTAAGTCACTCAAGGCCATTATTCCTCTCTGCTTACAAGAATATTATTTGAAGTGTAGTCTTGCCAATTAAGTTTCCAGGGAGACTTTTTGATCCTTCCAGGTTTACACTCTTAAGACATCTGGGAGCTTTTGTTGAGCTATTGGAAGAGTTAGAATAAACCCATCTTGGAATGGACAGCTTAAGGTTGTATTGCCTCCCCTGTGATGTTCTGTTACTTGTGACATCATTTCAGGGAAATACATCTGTTGCAACTCCTTGTGCTCCATAATTGTTTTTCTGTTGTCAACATCTTTTGTTTAAGTTGAGGTGTTATTCTTGTGTTTTCTTTAGACTGTTTCTATGGAGCTGGTACCCATCCATCCATCCATCCGTTTATGCAATGAGTCATTCTTATGCTAGTTTTCAATTTACTTTAGATCCATGAATATCATTCTTAACAGTGCAGTACAAAGTAAAAAATGATTATCAGGTGCATGCAGCTAACAGTATACAGTTGCAGTTTTATATATCTATAATGCATAGATACAGGCTTTTTCATGGTGAGAAGGGAGATGAGGGCTGTGCCTGGCTCGTTGTTCTGTGCAAAGGGCTGACTTGATTGCACAGCAAGGATCTGTCTCAAGGCTTTTTGATAGCTTTCCAGTCTATCACTGACTGTTGGGTGGCATCATCCCCATGATCGGTAGCAGTAGGCACTAAAGACCACAGGAGGGAGGAGGGGGTGAAGCTGCCTTCACAAAGTGAGAAGTTTTCATCATAGACCTGGTTCTCCTGAGGGACTTCAACCACCCCAGCAGCTGTGGGGAGGACAGTGTGGTGAGGGACAAGCAACCCAAAAGATTTCATGGATGCCAGGGACAGCTTTCCAAAGGGAAAGCAAAGTTACATACTGAATGTTTATTTTATTCTACCTGCAGCACAAGCATGGCGCTGTGCCTGTACTTGCCTCTAATGTAATAATGCACTACTGCAACTGCATTTTAGGTGAATCGTTTCATACTAAGTCAACTTTGAACAACAGAAGTAATTCAAAGAGCATTTAAGCTCCTTCTCCACCCACTTCTGTAAAGTGAAGATGTCAATCCAATAGATTGCTCTTCTGATTGCTCTGTTTGGTTTTTAAAAACAAAAATCTCAAATGCAGGGAATGGCACTGAGAGACGTGGTTAGTGGGCACTGTGGGGATGGGTTGATGGTTGGACTGTTTGATCTTGGTGGTCTCCTTCAACCTTAGTAATTCTATGAATGCTTATACTATAGGAGACAGAACTATGCAGTGAAATTTTCAACCGTATTACTGATTTCTAAGGATAAAGACTGAGTATCTGAAAGAGGCATCTTACCTGTACCAGTGGGTGTACAGACAAGGATGTCAGATCTGTGGAACTGCAGATCATACACAGATCATGCACATAAATCATACCTCTCTAGCTCCTTTACCTGTACAATTGCTTTCTAGTGCAGATGTCAACTAGACAATAGACCTAGACACTAAAAAAAAATGGCCTCAACTTGTATTTAGCTTTGAAGCATAATGCTTCTACTTCAGAGATGAAGAGGGGCTTGTATGTCTGGAAGCCTAAGAGGACTATTACAGGAAATTGTAGGAGAACTTGAGAAACACCTAGCCTGTTGTTGGTCACAGGTGATGTGTAAGCTGAAACTCAAGTCTATAATGAACCAACCAGAATAGGTTGGAAACCAATTTTTTATGATCCCTATATTGGCAGTTCACCAATATTTCATTGTTAGGATATTTATTACAAATACAACACTTGGTTGCATGTATGGAAACAACCTCGCTATGCGCTTCACTCAGAAGAGAAAAGCAGGAGTATATTTATTGATATAATATAATGTAGTGATTTAACTGTGACGTAATCAGGTTTGACCAACCAGATGGCTGGATACACCCAATTTTTTACTGCATAGCAGGTCGGATTAAACACACACATAGAAAACTGTCCCACTGAGTCATGAGGGTTAGAGTGGACCCCTATTGCTTTCAAAGCCCCTGCAACCACAGGGGTGAAGAGTCTAGGTGTGGCTGGATCCGCTCCTAGCCCCAGACTTGATCAGCAGTTTGTGTCTAAGGGATCATATGTGCACAAAGATGCAATATTAGTAAAGCTAACAAAATCTAAAACAAACAGTCACTTGCTGTGGATCTGTATCAGCAAGGTGTCTTGACATCAAGGTGTCTGGGATCTCTGTGCAGGTGTAACCTCAGAAGGTGTCCATACTTGAGGGGAGATCCCATCATGCAGCCGTGGCCATGCAAGAGAGCTCAAGGGGACCGACTGTTGGGCTGGGCACTATTTTTGGGGTAAGACGATTGACTCCTAGTCATACTTTTAGGTGCCTGCTCAGATGGCCCTCAGCTCTTGAACCGGATGTCTGCTATCACTGCTATCAGCCCTCCAGTTTGAGACAGATCTGTGCTTGTTAATTTGTTTTAGAAAGTGTGTTATCAGTGGTGTCCATCATCATCTTCCTGTGCAAGGTGAAGGATGCAGTTGGGGAACAAGGAGGGGCAGCACTGTCACACCAAGCATCTGTGCTGACCGTGAGCCTGGTTTTCCCCCTGTACTTTGGGAGGGGCTGAGCAACAGGCGCTGTAACTGGTGTTCCGGGATAACCGTGTGGTAATGGATTGGCAGGAGATAGCAGTCCCTTAGGGTGAATGTCCTCAAAGGAACACGAGCTCAGATGCACGAGTCTGTGGGCAAAGGTACAGAGGGATGCTTGATTTAACTGAGAGACCTATCTGGCTTTGCATTCTTCTGCTGTGTTGCTTGTTTCGCAGCTCTTACCTTACTGCAGGGCGAGAATTCCATCCCAACCCTGCCCGCTGTCAGCAGGCAGTACTGTCCCAGGTCTCCTATTTGTCCTGCGGCTTGATGCGCTGCTTGAAGGTGGATCTTCATTCCTTTCTTGCGAGAAAACTTGCAGGAAAGCGATGCTTCCACTTTAGGAAGCGGAAACGGAGGGCGTAAGCAGACACTGGGAACGAGCCAGGTAAGCACAGGGCTTCCCGTCCTCACTTTCCGGAAGGACAAGGGGAAGATCCAGCCCTCCCCGCCCGTACCCCGCACCGAAGGGGCCGTGCCGCGCCTCGCCCCCCGCAGCCAGGCGCGCTCCGGAGGCGGCGCAGCTCTCCCCGCCTCTCTGGGCCCCACCCCGCTGCCTGCCCGGCCGGCGGGGGGCGGGACGGAGGCGTCCCCCGGGCCGCCCTCTTACTCCCCTTTTCGCCGGAGGTAGCGGTTCCTCGGGGTCGGGATGGAGGCGGCTGTGGCGCGGGGCTCGCTGGGCAGAGCGTTGTCCGGCACCCACCGCCAGGATCTGCCCGGCTGTAAGGCCGTCAGCGAGGCGCGGGTGCTGGTCATCAATACGGGCGGCACCATCGGCATGGTGCAGGACGACAAGGGTGAGCGGGGCGAGCCGGGCTGCAGCCGTGAGGAGCAGCGTTCTGCGGGCGGAGGGCAGGGGAAGGGAAGGGAAGGAGGCCGCTCCTTGCGCCAGCTAGAAGCCCGGCTTCTAGCGGGCGAGCGGCACCAAAACGGGATCCTTTCTTCTCAAATCCCGCGTCTGTACCAGTGGGAGCGCATCCTTGTGAGCAGCGGCCCCTGGGCTGGGAGCGGCAGGGCACAGAACAACGTGTTTCCTGCAGCGCCAGTCCTTTCTCTCCACGCTCGCGCGCTGAAAATGAAACCAGCTTTGTTCCACAGCTCACGTTGCGTATTTTTTAGCCCCAAAAGAATCTTCCCGGGCTCCGTGGCACGTAGGGTGATGCCGGGTTGGGGGTGTGGAGAGAATGGGAGTAGTTTGGTTAGGATGAACTGAACATAAGTTCTCTTTTCTTATTTCATTACTTGGTAGGCAGCGCAGCGTCCCAGGGTGGCTGTAAGCTTCCAGCAATAGATCTAAGGTGCTCCTGTTACCTACTGCAGAGTTTCACGGTTGAAATAACATCTCGGGTACGCATCTGTAGGTTTCAAACACTTGGGGCTTCACCTCTGAGTTTTCTACGCTATATTTGTTTCCTTCCTTCTTAGGCAATTGCTGTTTCTTGTTACTGTAGGGCACATGCTTCACAGCGTTGTTGTGCTTTGTTTTTTATGGCTGTTGTCACTGTGTTTAACCCTTGAAATGAGCCTGAGGAATGACAGTTGCAAGAGGAATCCGTGTTTCGAGTGACACGTGGTCACTTTCCTCTATTTGCACTGCTGCTAACATCATTTCCTATTTCTGCTGGCTCAGTTTCCCAAACACCTTAAAAAAAAAGTCTCCATTCTTTTATGAATGAACTCCACAGCCTCTTTGGATTGTGTGCTTTATTTCTGTTGCCCAACATGTGTCAATCATTACAGCACATGCAAACAATCTGACAGTTCTGATCCAATGCTGCCGGTGTGCTGCATCCCGCTGAGGGTTCCGCCTGCTTCTTCTGCACAGATCCAGCAGCAGAGCAGCTGGAGTGCCTCTTTAAGAGTATTTGCCAGTCCATCGTGTTTAAACTGAAGCTGGTGAAAGGGCATGAGAAAAGCAGCATGCTTAAAAGGTTGGAAAAAAAAAAAATCCTCAATAATATGCTTGTTTCTTTTATTAATCAATACCTAGAAAACACCTGCTTAGAACCATAGCTCAAGCTGTGTTTTATTTCAAGCAAAGTAAACAGCAGTGAGTTCCTTGAGCAGCATGAAATTTTTCAGTAGCAATTGAAGGGTTCAAGCAAGGCTCCCACCTAATTCCCATATAGGCTGCTCTTTTATGGCCTTTCCTCTTACTAGAAAAGATGGTATCATTTGTAAATGCTAACAGGAGGAGCTTACTCTCTGCAAAACACATCAGGCCAATGTAGAGTTGCCTCCATGTGCAGTGCAGGTTACAGTCACGTTCCCTGGGCTCGTTGTGCACGTGTGGATGATTGTTGATTGCTGCCTGGTCTGATGGTAAGATGGTAAGCCCACTGCAGGTGCTTTGCAGTTGATCTGTGCGCATGTGGCAACCTCAGCACCTCTCAGACCTCTTGAACTCCCTATGGCCCTGGAGCTTAGCCCTGAGGGAGGCCTTTTCAGAGGATGGGTGCTCTCTGTTCACCCAGTGAAGTGACAACCAAAGTCACTTGCAGCCTCTCCCAGCATTCCTGCTTTACATTCAAATAAGCCATCTCAATGCATGTTTTAGATTTCTTCCTTTTGCTTCCTCCTACTTCATTCCTCCCACCTCTTTTGGCTTATCAGGAGCTCAGTTCAGAAGGATAATCCTGCTGCTCTGTGCAGTGAGGTTATTGTAACACTGATCCCCACATCAAGCTCTGCTCCTCCTGGATTGTGCTTTCAGGAAGATCATTTCCTCAGCCTTGAGTACTGCTCTCTTTCATAGCTTTTACCTCAAAAAATGAGAAAAGAAATCCTACCTAACAAACACAAGTGGGGCTAAGCTAAATCCCCTTAGAAGGATTACTTGGAATAGTCTTTGTGGGTAACATGGTTAATTTTCTGTCTTTTCTAGATGCAGTAGACTGCTGAAGGTCTGACTGCTGTGGTCCAAATAGGACCCAACTCCTATGGTGGGTTCTTTGGGTGTCAGAAGCCCCCAAGACACAGCTGAATTGGAGTCTTTCAGCTCCCCCTTCTCTCCAACACAGGCTATAGGTTAACGAGACTGAGAAGTAGCTATCGCTATATTAGCTTTAGTACTGGAGCGAAACAGACCTCTGCTCCAGGTGAGACAGAATCATCCTTGTTCTTCTCACCGTGGGGTTGCCCAGCTGCAGAGGAACAGGTCAGCAGCTGATGAGAGGCGTTTGGATGAGTTGCATGACTTGCCTCTTCTCTGCAGGGGTGAAGCTGCTACAAATGCTCGGTTAATGAGTTTGGCTCGCAGAAGATATTTTCCGTGCATAATAAAGTAGAAGTGTTCTTAAAACTGTCGTGCTTGAGTTCCCCTGCGTGGCTCCTTGAAGCAGTGGAGCAGACAATACTGCCAAATGGGGGTGCATGCAGGGGACGGCGTTGGTTGTGAGCCAGATGTCTTTGGTGTGTCTGCAGAATCTCTGAAGGTTTGATCACAGTCAAGCAGGCACAGGAAATCCCATCGGATTTGTGATCCAGAGATGAGGAACATTCATTGGGAAGAGATTTAAAAATATTATCATTCGTCAGCTCTCCCGCTCTTAGAACAAATAGGAGAAATAAGCTCTCTAATCCATTGCCAGTATTTAGAGCAAGGTGAACAAGGGAAAACAAAAAAACACTGTGCTGCTGTGTGGAGCTTCAGAGCCAGGATGACTATATCCAAGTGCAGTGGCCATTTGTGAGTAAGCTAGGGACATCTTTAATAGGAATAAGCAGGGGTTGTAAATGAAACAACAAAACATCCAAAGCTGGAAGCACGTTGAGTATATTTTGTAAAACAAAATGTTCCAGTAGGAATCCAAGCAAAGCCACTCAAATGCTGTTGCCATCCTGCAAGGAAGCTGGCTATGAAAAGGCCTCGTACTTCATTTAGGGCAAGCCAGCAAAGAGATTAGGGCATTCTTAAGGGTTTTCCATCAGTTTGGAAAGTAAAGCAGGCTGCATGCACTTCAGCTAATGCTATTACTGTTTCTCTGTACTTTGGAATATTTTAAAGAACAAACTTGTTTGAAGATGAAATGATAAAAAAGATCATAGAATCACATGTGCAAATGGTGTTCAGGCAAACAGGAGAGCTGGGAAGTGGGAGAGAATTCTTCTAGCTGTAGATGTCCCCATTCCTTGGAGGGGAGTTGAACCAGGTGGGATGATTCTCTGATTATTTAGCCTCAAACTGTGACTGGCTGGAACTGGCAGAAGTTGAATTATGAGGTTTGAGAATTTCTTCGCTGTCAGAGCAGGTGAGACTGCACAGATCTGGACAGCAGTACCAGTAGAATCTTGGAGTTCAGAAAGAAGTGCCTCTGCTTGAATACTGCAGTGTAATTTTATAACTGGAATTGTTGTAATCTAATTGGAATACTGCTGATCCAGAAACTCCTAGTGTGCTGCTGGCACTTAAAGATATAGGAGTTAATAAAATATATAATGTTCCACCTTGCTAAATTCAGACCATCTTCCTCAGCTCGTTTCAGCAGCCAAATGCAGACAACCTTCATCCTACCACTATCAGAGCAGCTGCAGGCTGAGTTTACAGTGGAACTCAGCTCTGTCAAACCAAATGTAACATTAAACATTGAAGGCGCCTTTTTATCTAGCAGAGAGCAGCATTTGGATTCCTTTTGAAATACCTGGTTGCCCTCAGAATGCCTGCAGGTGCAGCACACCATTCATAGGCTTGGGCTGGTGTGGGCCTCAGCCATCTTCAAGGTCACTTCCACAGAAAGGAGGATGTCCAGGGCAAGGAGAGGGTGAACAGAGCTTAGGATGCATCCACACTTCCATAGAATCATTAAAGTTGGAAAAGACCTCAAAGGTCTTCTAGTCCTCACGTACCTCCACTGTGTTAAGGTGTTCAGTCCTCAACCTGCTGGTGGAAAGCTAATGTTTCAGGGAGGGTGATGGGGAACTCAGTATTTAGGACTCAGCTGGCGAGCTGCTATTTCTGTCTTTATAAACAGAGATCTTTTTCCGTGTCTGCCTATGCTCAATACCTAGTGTGGGACTTGTTCAGGCTTTCCCTTTTTTTCCCCTTTGTGCAAATGCTGGTGCTGCTGACAGTGAGACCTAACGCACCGCTTTTCTATACAGCCATACTGGCACCTTGCTGTCTGTGCCAGTACATCCATAGGACATCAGCTAAGGAGCTTAGGCAGAAATATCACAGCTTTGTAGTGCAAAACAACATCCATGTTCGGTAAATATCCTGCCACTGGCTAGAGGGTAGCTGTGGAAAATGCCGAAGAGAGTGGTAGCTTTTTGCTATCCGTATTAGCACACAGACAACAATTTAGGTAAAACATAAACACTTGATACACAGGGGATTTATAACCTTATTTCTGCCAAATAAAGGATTTATTTATTTATTTAAAGCCTGGAAAAGAGTAGCTGCACAGAGAGTTATTGATTATGTTGTTTTCACGTTCTGAGCTGGCAGCAGACTGTTAATGTTTCATGTAGGACAGGCCACAAGCTGGATAAACTGATTTCTTCCCCCCCCTTTTGGTGCTACTCACTACCTTCCATCCTTTATTTACTTCATTTATTCTTTTTTTTTTTTTTTTCCAGGACTTGCTCCTGAGGCCAATAAGTTAGTAAGCAGCTTGAAGACGATGCCAATGCTGCATGATGATGCATATGCCCAGGAAACAAAACTGTGCAACCTCCATGAATTTCCGGATGATACATTGGTGCTCCCGTAAGTATTTCTTCCCTGGGGAGAGGGAATTGTGTAGATTTTAAAATAATTGTCCCTGCAAACAATTAATATGGGGATTCTGCTATGAAATCAGCAAAAATGTTTTTATTGATTTAAAAGTGGGTGTGCTGGGAGCGGGCTGATGGTTGGACTAGGTGATCTTAGGGGACTCTTCCAACCTTAATGATTCTGTGATTCCGTGATTGTAAAAGGAAAAAGCCCAGGGTGCCTGGTACTATGCGAAATATGAAGTGTCATAAAACTGCTTGAGAAATTACCTATAAATTTGTCAACAAGCAGACATTCCGGACAACTTAAGTCTTACATTTTTTCTGGATTTTGATATTAATGGGCTACTATGCAAGCATACAAATATTCCCAAATAGCTAGGAAAGCTGCAAATACAGCTCTGTGTGAATTATCTTTGGCATGCCTGATAAAGTAGCATCTATTTAATGCATCCATGAATAGTCCTCATGCTTTAATTCTGCAGGCCTTCTGTTGTTTTTTTTTAAAACCCAAAAGCTGATTGTCTTTCCCAGATTTATGCAACATTATGATAATAGCTGATGGGCTTACAATTAATCTGCATTACTTCTTAACTCTTGGGCAATGATTAGTAAGCTTTTAGGTTTTATTTGGAGGGCAGTATGCTAATTTGAGATATTCCACAGCTGTGATGAATGACTGCTTCTGTAAACACGTTAACTTGGCACAAAGGATGATTTTACAATCACTCAAGAATAAATGGGACTGTTGCTGTTTTGTTATAAGAGTGCAAATGGATATTCCTTAAACTTTATGGAAAAAATCAGAGCATAAAAACAAATTGTAAGGTTTGTTAATTTCTTTCTATTTTGTACTAAGGTCTCTGTGTTAAAAGTAACTTCTTAGAAGGCAGACAGCAGGAAGATGAATGAAGGGAAAATAATGAACTCCCAGCTGATTAATATGGTTGTGAACATACAATTTATGTTAAATCCAATGACTATAACAAGAAAATTTGAGATTTGTTCTGGTACTGTTATAACTGAATGGCTTTTAAATACTTCAGGGGATTTAAAATGTAACTGCACTGACATGCACATTGGACTCCCAGATATACTTCTTTTGGTGTATGTTTTCCACGAAGTGCAGAAAACCTTGAAACAGTCAATTCAGATCAAGAACTGGAGTTTAAAAAACAGTCCTGTCCTATTTTTTCTGGCACTGCTCTGTGCCATTTGTGGAGGTCAGTCGTGGCAATGTGCCACTTTCTCTTTTGTGCTGGCTGAGTGATATTTTAACTAGGCAGCTGAGAAATAATGCAGCTTTCTGAAGGAAGAAAATGGGAGTATTTAGTGAACTTTGTGAAACCATGTTGTAACTGTGACGTAACAACAAAGATACCAACTAATGATCCTTCTTGGAGAGAGGAGTCAAAAGCAGTAGAGTAGGCTGCTCTTGGTTGTGGTATGCTGTGTGTTATTTAAGCAGCACTTCCTTGAGAAGCTCTTTTCACAAATTTTCCACTGCCTTACAAAGTTGCTGGTAGGCAGCACGTCAAGAAAGCAATTTTTCGTATGATAACTCAATTACAGTAAGTCAGTTGTTTTTGAGCAATAACCCCATGTTGATTAAGCACTTTCTCTACTGTAAGCAGCGCTCACACAGGCTTCGTATGGGGAGTGGTTGCTCAGATTTTGTTAGGTGATTTATTTTTTACTGCATATTTTATGTTGTTATAAGCAAGAATAGCAAGTAGGGAAAAAATAGCACTTGCAGATGCTGAGGGAAGGCAATGAACTCCGTGCTCTAAGCACATCCAGATGTTGTGGAGTATCATGGCCTTTGACTGTCTTACACTCATAGGAAATAAATGTAGAAGCATCAGTCACAGTTAAACAAAACTTTGCATCGTCATCAGGCAGTGAAGTAACATTGAGAATGCTCTGAAGGTGATGCTGTTGGCTGTGCTCCTGGATGGCTTCGCTTGGAAGGGAAAGTAGAAAGGGCTGAGCTGGCCTGCTAGTAGTCCTGATATGTTAGCTGCTTGTTTGTCATCACATTTCTAAAGACAAACATATTCTGACTGTTAAGTACATATCTGTTTCTCAGGGTTTTTTAAATGCTTTTTTTCTTGTCATTTTAACCCTGTAGCAGACAGTAGGTCTGTAAGTTTTAGTGACATGAGCTGTGGTCATTCTCATTCCTAGCTTGAAAATTTCCTTTAAAATGCTAATATAAGAATGGTGGATATTCTATTATTTTTTTATATTCTAACAAAATGGTGGATATTCTATTATTTTCCAAGCTTCAAGAAGGTAGCAGAAAGTAGTTGCAGTGGTGTTCTTTTTTTTACCCCAAACCTTGTAAGTAGAAAAGCTCAATTTATATGCTCTTGGCTATATTGATGGGTTAAAGAAGGTGGAGAAAAGGGAAATTTCATGGGGGTAGAACACCTGCTCTGTTTGTAGCCTGTGTATCTGGCAATTCAAAGCTCTTGGAAGAGTCAGATTTCAGATGAAGAAAGGGAGATGGATGGTCTTTGGAGGCAGGGAGAGCAGACAGCTGTAACAATCCCACTGGGATTACAGTCATTTTTTCCTTAGACACTGAAAATTCACAGAATCACAGAAAAAAATTCCCCTCTAACTTTGGAATTTTGCACTTCTAGGTAGCTCTTTTTTCTGGTCGTCTTCTGCTGGGCTTCATGCTATGTGAAGTTTGAAAGCATTGCATTCCTCAGCCCCACAAGTACTTGACTTTTTTTATACTTGCACAGTTGCTTTGTCTCATCTGCCTTGCACTGCGAGAAGTCTCAGTTATCGAGGCTGCACTTGTGCAGTAGCCAATGACTGATTACCGGTGGGGCCACTGTTTCCAACTATGCCAGTATTTTAAGATCTTTGATATTATTTCGTGCTTAAAAGTCCACATCATTCACAAGAGATGTCCGGTACCAACGATGTCAGATGTTAACAGGCCCGATAGGCCAGGACTTGAGGAAGGTAACCTAACAGTAGGAAACTGTGGGTCATTTGGCAACAGTTTACTTGATGGTATTGGATAAAAAAGGAAACATTTTCTGAAATCTGAGGTCAGAGAAACCAAGGGAAGTAAGCTTTGTAAAAGGTATAAAAATAAAGGGCAGTCCTAAGACTCTGAAGAGAAGACTCCCTTTGTTGCAAGGAATTTGTAGCTATCACAGCATTAAGCAGTTGTTGAAACTCATCTGTGAATCCTCTGTGTATCTTGGGAGCTTTACAGATTCCTCTCAATAGCTTACGAAGCATTTTTGAAACCATAAGGCTAGATATGAACTTACATTAGAACTCAATTCCAAACTTAAACAAAGTGACTCTGCATTATTCTTACCTGCCTTTGTTTCTGCCAACTTCTCCCCACCTCCCAAATTTTAAGTTTAGTAAATTGAAGTGTTTGTACTTCAAACCACATCAAGTCATGAGTTTCTACACTTGGAACTTAATGTTTCAAATGTAAGACCATTTCCTTGGCTACGGACTTGCAGATACAGGGAGAAGTTAGTGCTTTAGTGAAAAAAATGAGAGGCTATGAGCTGCTGTTAGCCCTAATAGTGACTTTTTCCCCTGAATTACCTTTCTTTTTAGTGTCTCTAAGCAAAACAAAAGAATTTTCTACACAATCCTGGAGCTGTCACCACTACTTGATTCTTCAAACATGACACCGGAGGACTGGGCCAAAATTGCAAAGAAACTTGAGGTATGGTGGTGTGGGATAAAACTTCATTTGTTGCTAAAACAAAAATGGCACTGTGTTTGTTATACTTAGCAAGGTATAACAATGTGGAACTGCTATAATTAAAGTTTTAATGTCATCCCTGTTTCTTAGTTAACTGTAAAGCAAGAAGTACTGTGCTTGCAAAGCGTGCATTTTGAAAAGGCTGCAGACTCATTTCTTACGTAGCTCTTCCTGTGACAAGCCATAATTCTGTAAAATGAAAAGAAAAATTGCAGCTGTGATTGAATAAGATATGTAATATATAGATTAATATGTTATAAAATGTTGGCTTCGATTCACTGTGCCAAGTGTCAAGTAAAAAGAAAAGTGTCAAGTAAAATCCTTAGGTGCAGGTGACTTAGCAGAAGGTTGTATAGTTGTACAGCATTTGGATGTTCTGCTAGATGAATGGTTAGCTCTCAGTGTAGGAAATAATTTCATATGCCTTTCTTACTCAGACACTGTCCTGACTAGCTTTGCTTTTGCAACCAGGAGAAAAAGCATTACCAAGGTTGGCTTTCACACACTGGGAAATGATCAAAGCCCTAAATATTTTTGTATATACAGATAAACTCATTATATACTTCTCTAGATTAAGAGCATTTCTCTGCTTCTGTTCCCATTTCTTAACTATGTGCTGTAAAGAAAGCAGAAATATGAAACATTTCAAATACTTCATACCAGGAATTCATATGTAGCTGTTAGCAATAAGTAACCTAAGTGGGCCTACAAACACTCTGCTCTTCCACTCCTCCTCATTCTGCAGCGGTGTCTTTGTGTTGTAGGTCTCCTTCCACCAGGCTGTACCCGTTTTCACTAAGGGTACAATAATACTGGGAATGCTACTGAAGATTATGTAACAGTCTTTGACCTTTAGATCCTCTAATCCCGAAACCATCAAAGTAAGGGAGATGCTTCACTTATGGAATGCATCTTGGCGGTTCAGAGAAGAGATGGAGAGGGTATGGAATAAGGATGCAGCTGGGAAAAGCCCAGGGCTGAGAGTAGGGTATCTTAAAGAAGGCAATGCCATGTTGAACAGGAGAGAATTTACCTTTCTTCCTTAATGGGACATCAGTTTTTTTACAACTTCTTAAAAAATGTGCGCAGAATACGGCTTCTTTAAATCCAGTACATGCAGTCCAAGTGAAAAGTGCTGAGAAGGAAAAAAATTCTTTAGCTGTCCAGCTTGTGGCTAGACACTGCCACGTTGTGTTCATCCTCAGTGCTTCCTTGGTGCAGCTGTAACACGTTGGAGACTTCTCAGAATGGAACACTCTAAGTCATTTCTTTGGGATTTTTCCTTAGTGAACAGGCTGATCTTTTGTATGGTGCAGGTTAAGACAAGCTGTGTTCTTTATCATTTAACAAGATTCATAAGGCTGACAGTATTAGTGAAGTGTGCAGACTGAATTAGATAGGACAGGCAGCTATTTCTGTGATTTTAGCCCTTGGAATTTGCTTATGTTGATTCAGCATTGATGAATACAGCAGCACGCTTTATGCATCCCAGTTCCTGGCCTACAGAAAAATCTTGCAGTGTTGGTTGTTCTGTTGGCTAACCATTGAGAAATAAACAGAACTCCACTGAAACTTTCAGTAGATAGCAACATGAAGGGATGAGTATTGGTGAGGAAATAGTAAAGGACAAACAGAAATGTATGGGTGGATTAGGAGCTGACCATAATAACAGGAGATGCCAAGTGTGTGTACCCATTGCAGTATAAGAAATCTACTTCAAAAGGAATCTGATTTAATTCTATGGAAAATAAAAAAAATTCCCACTGGAACTTTTTGTATTTGCTCAGACTGCTGTATAATCATGTCCATGTAAACCAAATTACATTAGAGACATCAGTTCCTTTGACTGAAGTGTTTACTATGTGCATCGCTCTTAAAATAGAGGAACCAATTCCTTTCTCCTCTGAAAGCCAGCTGATGATTTTATCCCATCAGGATGAAGAGTAATTAATGGCTTTGCATTAAAAACTTCCTATGTAGAACCGAATGTAGATTGCATCACAGAATCACAGAATTGTAGAGGCTGGAAGGGACCTCTGGAGATCATCCAGTCCAACCCTCTGCTAAAGGAGTTCCCTACAGTTGGGCAGGAAAGCATCCAGGTGGATTTTGAGTATCTCCAGAGAAGTAGACACCACCACTCCCTGGGCAGTCAGTTCCAGCACTTTGTCACCTACACAGTACAGAAGTTTTTCTCATGTTCATATGGAACTTCCTGTGTTTTTCAGTTTGAGTCCGTTGCTCCTTATCCTGTCACTGAGCATCACCCAGAAGAGCCTGGCCCCATCCACTTGACTGCCATTCGTTATTTATAAGCATTGATAAGATCCCCTCTGAGCCTTCTCTCCTCCAGGCTGAACAGTCCCAGGGCCCTCAGCCTGCCCTCGCATGGGAGATGCTCCAGGCCCCAGCCATCCTTATGGCCCCTGCTGGACTCTACAAGTTCCCCGTCTTTCTGGAACTGAGGAGCCCAGCAGTGCCACAATACTCCAGATGTGACCTCGCCAGGACAGAGCAGAGGGGCAGATCACCTCCCTCACCGTGCTGGCCACACTCTTTTTAATGCACTCCGACTTCCTAAAGTCATTATAAAATGACTTATTTTTTTGCATCTGCGTGCCTGGTTCTAAGGTGTACCTTACCTTCAAACAGAAACAGCCTCTTCAGCTCGGGAGCTGCAGGAATGGAGTACTGCTTGAGAAGTGATGACGTTGAAACAGAAGAGGGCACTCTTACACTGGCAATCTGCCTGGCTGCTAACCGGATTACACGGGCTGTTTTTTTCTATATGTACATCATGATAGCCTCGATTTGCCTTTTCTGTTCCCGTAAATGATGTAATCCCCTCAGTGAAAGCAGCAACAAGAAATCAGACCATGCGACCGATTTGCATATGTTAACATTCCTGTTTCGAGCCATTGCTAAGCTTTTCTTAATTAGCAGTCTTCTGGTTTAAAAATGCTGCATTAATATGTATACATAGAAAAATCTCTTTGACTGTTCCTTAATTAGAATTACAGCTGTAGTGTTTATTGTCCTATTAACCCTTAATTATGTTTAAACTCAAAACGTGGATATTTGAGGAGGAATTACCCATGTGGTACCCTTTAAAGTATCACACTGTTGCTTGCATCAGTGAAAGTCGTGCAGTCCATCCGTCGCTTTGATGCCAGTGCATTGTTCTAACAGCATGAAAAATGTCTCTCCGTCTCCAGGAGCACTATGAAAAGTATGATGGCTTTGTGATCCTCCATGGCACTGACACAATGGCATACACAGCTTCAGCCTTATCCTTCATGTGTGAGAACCTGGGTAAAACTGTTGTTCTGACAGGATCGCAGGTAATGGGCTTTATTTTAAATAAAACTTCATTTTCTGTTTTTGTATGCAAAGCTACATTGAATCTTGACTGTCATTATGGCTTTTAGTAGTGCAGGACAGGCCTCTCGCCAGGGTGATGCTCACAGTGCTGTTAGAAATCATTGAGAATTGACAGGCTTACCAGCTGAGGATCTGCCCCATAATTTTATCATTAGTGACTTTACAACTCCATACCACATCAGACCAGTAGTTCATTATGGTCGGAGCCAGATGCTTCAGAGAAAGATATAAGAGCCTGTCATTGGCCATTGTGTAATAATCTGTTTATATGAGAGGCATCCTTCCAGCCTCAGGTGGCTGCTGGTTGTTAGCTGTCTTTTTTGTTGTTGTTTGTTTTAAAGCCCTGAAGCTTATTACTTTTTACTTCATCGTTTCTTAGCCCATCTTATGTTACTCATTGTTGCGTTATTTCTCATTTTCTACAGTCTCTCAGCATTGTATGCATTTTTTATCATTTCTGTTCCACGAAGCATCTCACACAGTCTGTCTTTTCCTCTAAAGACAAGATTTATTAATTTTCATTCTCTTAGCTGGAGATCAGACCTTTGCATATTGTCAGAGGAGGAGGGGTTGTCTTACTAGAATAGCTTGCTTGAGTGTAAAATACAGCTCTAATCTAGTCACAAAAGAGAGATGAAACATAGCACTGTAAAACCCTTCTCCAGCATCTCATAACTTCCCTTTTACTTGTAGTCTATTTGAAGTCAAAATACAAAAGTCTAGGAAGGAGTAGGCTGCCACTTAGTGACTTGACGTGGAACAGTCCAGTTGTGGTACATCATATTCAAGGTTTTACTATTTTTTTTGCTTAATTATTTGGGGAGCTGCCTGGCATGATCTAGCAGTAAAGCATGTGACTTTTATTTTTTTTTGCTGAAAGAAGCTCTGACTCTTTGTTAATAAAGACACAATCTGCAAAGGCATGGAGGTCATCCCTGTCATTCAGCAGACCAGATTTCTGCTTTTAATCTTGTTCATTTCTGTCAGTCACAACCTGCTGGCTCAGGTCTTGTATACTACTATGAGGAAAGATGGTGCAAGAGAGCTGTTCTGAGCCATAGAGGCAGTTCTGTATGAACTGAGACTTGTTTCTGTACTAGCACTTCTCCCATGTTCAGTCACGTAAACTGAGCTTGCTTACTTTATATTCTTGATATTTTTCCTTCTAAAAACAATTGCTTAATCATACTAGAATCATCTCTACATTATCTTTAAGCACTTGCATTATAGAAGCAGGATAAGCAGAGGGAAACCCCACCTTCTGCTGTAGTTTAAAATAGTTTGGATGAAGAAGTAAACTTGTCATAAATCACTGTTATATGAATTATTCATGTATCTCTATTGCATAAGTTGGATTCTTTTTTTTTCCTGCTGTGTAGGCTTTATGAAAGGGATGGGGTTTAATTTCATTCTCTACTCTTCAGGTGCCTATATACGAGTTGCAGAATGACGGCCGAGCCAACCTTCTGGGGGCACTGCTTTTTGCTGGGCAGTTCGTGATTCCCGAGGTCTGTTTGCCTGTGAAGACCATCTTGACAGCTGTTCTTCTCCCTCTAGTTAGGAACTCATACTTAAATACTCAAAATATCTGGTAGGATTTGCACTTGAAAGGGGAAGGAAAAAAAAAAGATTCTGCTGAGGTAACAGCCCCTTGCATGGCAAAGCACACACTGTTTTCTCAGGATTAATGCCTCATTTTGCCTGTATGCAATCTATAAACACTATGTAGTCTGAATTTTAGCTTGCAGCAGACTTGAAATCAGAGATTCCCTTACAAACGCGTGGGATCTGAAGCATTTCTAAGTCAGTTTTTGAACTGAAAGTTACTTTGAAGTTCTTGAGTTGCGCTAGAACTGATAGCAATATCTTCTAGCTCTAGTACCTGAAGACTGAAGTGTCAAGGATGATACGCATAATAAACTTGGGAGCATCTCCATGGTCTCAGCACCCTGCTTTTAAAGACGATGATGCTATGCAAGCCAAAAATCTGAGAGAAATCTCATCAGGTTATTCCTTATTTAACTTCTGCCATGCTTACCAGTCTTTACAGGGTATTACAGCAAGGCCCAGATCTTCATAACTAACAGCAACTTTGAGGTATCTGTTTTTGTTCAAATTCCAATTGACTTACTTTTAGGGGCTTGAAAAGAAACCAATATTATTTATATTTTTGAAAGTTATCCTTCATTTCTACTAGGCCTTTTGTTAAGATTTGGGACACTGAATTTAGATGTAAGTGTGCACAAATTGTCCACACTGTTCCTTTCCTCTACCTCTGGGCTCAGGCAAATTTGCTGTCTCCTAGACTCTACTTCATAAGAGGATTATGAAACTAGTTAGCTCTTAACCTATTTTCTTCTTCTTAAATTCTTAAACCAACGTGCAACAGATGTGCCAACTCTTTTTGAAAGGGTAGGAGTTGTAAACATCTACTGGCCTCTGAGTAGTTTTAAAGATTTAGAAAACACTTTATAAAGGACAGACTATAGTATTTATCTACTGAATCTTTTAATTACTGGCTTATTCATAGACCTGTTTCTTTACTTGTTTTGCAGGTGTGCCTGTATTTTTATAATAAACTGTACAGGGGAAATAGGGTGACTAAGGTGGATGCTGGGAGTTTCAATGCCTTTTCCTCACCTAACCTGCCTCCACTTGCAAATGCTGAGGTTGATATTACAAGTAAGCAACATCCTCTCTTAAGCCTTGTAATTTATGCCACATGTAATAGAGCTGTAGCTGAAAAGAATCTGTGCCTATGTAGTTGAAATGCTGTTTTAAAACTCAAATATGTTTGAAAGCACTGTATTTTGACTCCACTTTATATGCTCTGAAACTTCAAATATTAGTAGGACTGAGAATTTGTGAACTCAACTGTATTTATCTCTTGAATATAGATGTGAGCTGGACAGACTTTGACTCAAGATGTAGACTAACCAAAGGGAATTTTTCCCTTGTGTCATGAAAATGCTTGCTCTGAAGATAAAAATGAGTGAGTGAGGATTGAAAGAACAAAGAGTTTACTCTCATTAATGACTGCGCTGGGCTCTGAGATCAGGCAAAAGAGTCATTATTGAGTACATGCCGTTTCAACAGATCGTCTGTTTGATGCATGACATTTTGTAAGATGTTTTACTGGATATTTAGAACCTGTCTAAACTGCAAGCAAACTGAAAATTATGCTTTGTGTGAAGTTGTTTTTTTTTTTTTCCCTGACTTATGAAGACTCCTTGTAATTTGTATGTGTCTGCTTTAAAAGGAGGAGAAAAACTACAGAAAGATTTCATTACCTGTTTGTAAAGGCGTTAGCATTCTGGTGTTGGTTCTTGAACGTTGGTTCTGTTTCTTTGGAAAGGAGAGAAAAGAAACCCATTTAGAGTCTTGCCAAATGAGGGGCTGTCAAAAAAACAAACTAAAGGACATTTTTCAAAAATAAGTTGTGCTAGCTGCTTTTGGATATATTTTAGAAGGTAGAGTCCTTGGTGACAGTCTCCATTATTCCCACAAATAAGAAGTAGATGGAGGTTCACAAATTCTTTTGCTAGGAGCTCTAGATTTTGCAGCATGGTGTTCTGAATGGTTTCTGCTACTAGAGAGGGGCATTCTGTAATTTGGAAAAATAAATGTACCCCTTCAACCAAATGCACGGCAGTCACTTTAAAAAGTTCTAGGGTCAAAAGGGCGATGTTTATAGCAGGGCCAGATAAACTAAGGAAACCTGTAAAATACTGTAGTGATCTGTAAGACATCTCTCTGGTAGTTTGCTACTGTAGTTTTACTGTGCTGCGTCAAACACCGAAATGCTGTCAGCTGATTGTTTTAGGAAATTGAGGAAAGTCTTCTTTCTTGGGTTTTTATGGAGTGCATCAGATAGGTTATAAATAAAGTCAGTTTACTGGCTGATCGATAATGAAATCAGGCTGCAAATAACATGCCATCTTTCTTTTGGATTTAAATGACCTGTTTTGTGATTCCTTGTCTAGGGGAGAAAAATGAAAGTTACTAAGTACTTTGCTTGGCCCATGTTTTGTCCCATTATCTTTTCGGTAGAATGCCCCATTGAGGTCAGTGAGGATTTCTGAGTTAAAAACTGATGGTGTGATAGGCTCTATTTTTATTTGTTTCAGTTGATTACCCAGTGAGGGTAGCATCATTTATCCAAGATGACGGTGTCAGAATTGAAGGATTGTTTCATTCTGGAAAACATAGTGTATAGTATGGGCAATCTACCAGTGCTGCTTTATTTTGTCCAAAGTGATTGTTTGAAACATAGCTGTCTCCCTTGTGTTTGCTCACACAGTCCTAGTATGAATATTTCACAGAGACAAAGAACCACTCAGGGCTTTTAGAAACAAACCAAACAAATCTAGTGTCTTTTAATTCTTTTTTTTTTTTTCTAGATCACTTTGTGTAATACCTCTTAATCTTCCTGTAGACTGGGTTGACTCTTGCTGCTTCAGCATTATGTAGAGCAGCCTGACAACGCCAGAAGCAATAGGCCATGTGCTCTTCCTGGGGCTTCCTAGTTTGTAACAAAGCTGGGAATGAAAATTCTGGAGAAGCAGAGAGGGAATGGGTGGCAAGATGTAGGGAATGAGAAGCATGATGGGATAAAAGCTTGAGATCATGGGCTGGTACAGAGGAACAAGTAGAGGAGATGTGTTTTAAGATTAGACATACCATGTAAAGACAACAAAGTCAGAGAGGAGAGGGAGAAGCTTAGTTCGTTTCCCCTCCTTGCTCTAGCTACTGCTCTCTTCATTTTTTTAATCTCCATTTTTCCCCATCTTCCCCCTCAGGTGAAACTCCCAGATTTCTGTTCCCATCACCTGACAGATTCTTGACCTAAGAGTTCTGTTACCGAATTTTAGACTGACAAGTGTGGCAGCCTCCTCAACATGTGGCAGCCTCCTTTCAAACCAGCTCACAAAACTCTTGACAGAAGTGAAAAATTTGAGCAAACTCCTTAGATGAATAGGAAGCCTAATGTTGGTGGGAAATGCTTTTGCAAGAAAACTGTTGGAAATGAACAATAGAGAATCAAAACCCAATATTTCTAAATGTGTACAACTTATGAAATGAAATACCTTGTCATATTTCTCTCATGCTTTGAAAACAAAAAGAGATGAGGAGGTCTGTTTCTTATGAAATGTATGAGGAGTCTCAATATATTTCATAACTGAATACTGTGCTCTGTTCTCTCTTGTCTTAATGAGGCAAATATGAAACCTGCTTTGTTACCATGACTGGACTTTCTTCATCATGCATGCATGTAACTTCTGGGAGTGGTGCATATGTGCAGGACCGTATGATTAGAAACATAACTTGTGTAGGGGATGAAAAGAGTCTGTGCCTGTGTGTGCAGGTGTGGTACAGCAGCAGCAGGTTGGAAGGCCTGTAGTCTCGTCTACCCACCAGTCTCATTAGAGAGAAGCTATTTGCCACTGGCCAAGTCTGTCTTGGTTGGCAGTTCTGGTTATTTATAGTAAAAAGCCCAAGTCATTTATGCATTAAGGCAAACGCCAGCTCTGCTCACTGAAGTACTTTTGGTGTTTTTCCCCCTTGTAAGTAGGCATGTTAATGCTTGCAGTTATACCTTTCCATTTAAATATTCATTTCAAAAGGTGTGTGTCAATTGTTTTATAATAAACTGCCAAAAAAGGGGGTCTAAGCTTGCTTGCCTCCATCAGGAATTTCCACCCATAGGTTGGCCTGTGTTCCCCACCCCTTGGCTGTGGCCATGAATTCTAATGAACGCTGGCGTAGCTTATATAATGGCATGGCTCACTGGTAGCCTTACAGAGAGGGATGAGAAGAAAGCGTTGCTGTTTGTCTGGAGCTCTGCAATCAAGAAAAGCTGCATTTCTTGTTTGATTTCATAACTTGGAGTTCAGTCACCACTCGTAAGGGAAGAGTCCCTCTGAGTTACTGCTCCCCCATTATAAGTTGAAACCTGCACTGTAGAACAGGCACTATTAAAAGAAGGGGGTTTGCTGCTTTCTTCACTGTTCGGAGCTGCTGCTTCTTTTTTATTTTGTTTTTCAGATAGGTTATTGTTGCTGGTTTTTTTCCACACTAGACCTATCTCATGTGTGGGTACGTGTGATGCTGAATAAGATAAGGACTCTAAAGTTGTGGGGTTTTTTTTTCTTGAAGGAAAAATGATTTTGGTTGTTTCCTTCTGCATCACTGTTCAACCATAGGATGTGAAGGAAGCCTGAGATTTTTCTTAGCAGTCCTCTGACAGAAGTTGCCTCTTCATGGACTGCTGGGTACCTTCTGTTCCTATCCTTGCACTAGTGAGCTCAGAAGAGGAACAAAAGCTAGTCAGGCTTCAAACCCCTAATAGTTCACTTTGTGACTTAAGTATATGCTTCTCTTTCAAATCTGTTTTTTGGCCAGTAATTTGAAAAGCTGTAGTGTTTGGGAAGGAGAGAGGGATTGCGAGCAGCAGAGTATTGTTTATGTTTGCTTTGTTTGGAAAAACAAACAGAAGACCTTTAATACTTTGAATATAGCATCCTTGAATAATGCAACCTTTTCTGTCCAAAGCCATTCTCAGTGCAGGATAGAAATAGCTGCTGCCTTTCTGTTTTATGCTTTAAAAATGTTCGCTCTGCTGTGCGAGACCAGTAGCTAACTTAGGTTTGTTCCCCAGCATTGCATCCATATTTACATAATACAGCAGACTATACCAGTTAGACTTTTTACAAGCACAGCCCATCCAAGTCAGGACAGGTTACTTTCTTCTGTTGTGCCTATCACCTGTATCCCTACTTAGTCAGTCTTACACACCTATCCGGGATAAAAACTGTTATGAACACCAACACGTAGAGCTTTTTGTACTTCACCTGTAAGAGGTTTTTTATTTAAGAACTGTTAGTGACTGCTAAGATTGTTATTACTTTTATTTAATCACTACAGTGCTGCCACTGGCTGCAGGACGGCTAGTTTATTCTGTACAGTGAAGATGCTTAACTTAATTATGTTGTCTAAATATTCTTCCTTTTGGGGGATATAATCTTTGATGTGGAGAATGCAAAAGATGTGTTCTAAATGTGTCTTTTTTTTTTCTCCCCTGTGTAGCTTCACTTAGAACAGTCCTGAATAAATCTGAGGTGAAGTTGAGCTTTTATGAAATCTGAGTGGTTTTGTGGCTCTTGCATCACTGTTGCCTTTTGTTCCGCTTTTTAAGCTCATTTGTCTAATGGAAATCTGACATCTGTAGAGTCTGCAGTACTGAGCACATTATGTAAACTGAGGAGATTCACGACTAAGAGAATGTTAACTCACAGACAATCTCTATTTCTTTTTTAATATAGTTTAGAATTGCATCACTCTACTGCATCTGACTGCATTATATTAATCTTAAAGGCTACGTGTTATTTGGTAGAATGTACTCCCATGAGTACAGGTATAGGCCTGGTGTAGTCTGGCTTTTGAACCTATCCTCTGATCTCTCTCCTTGGTCTTCTACTTCGGGCAGCGTGTTATGAAGTTAGGAAACTTGCCATGCTGGTTTCCTCCATTCGTTCCTCAAGTTTGTTGAAGACATCAGGGATGCTAGCTATTGCCAAATGTAGCAGCATGCATTTGTGAAGTTTTGGCAGGGAGTCCGAGCTTATGGAGGATAACGAAACCATTAGGAGTTTTACTGCTGTCCCTTCTTACAGAGAAAGCTGCTTTTAAATAATCAATCTGATTGTTAGAAAGTTGAAACAACTGAGTTTATTGCTAACGGCTGCTTCTTAAAGCACAGTGCTCAGGAGTGAATGTGATTAGCCTATTCTATGAAGCTCAGGCAGAATTCTATGATTCTATGCACTTGCCCATTTTTCTCCTCCACGTTTCTTAACTTATTCCAGAAAGTTACTGGGCCAACTACTGGCTCCAGCCAAGCGATTCCAGAACCGTACTCTCCAGCTTCTCAAAAACAAGCTCTGGAAACTGTCTATATTTCTATTCTCCCTTCCCGGAGCATTAGTGATACATGTACTTAAGTACAGAAGGCAGGGTAAACATGATGCCAAGCCAGCTGCTTTGTATGATTGCTTTTTTGTGTGGGTTTTTTGTTTGTTTGTTGTTTTTGGTTTTTTTTTAGGAAAGAGGCTGTAGTTGTTAATGGGCACCTCAAGGAGGGCTCATAAAGTCTTACAGGTGACTGCTGTTTTTCTGTCCTGGCTGAAAGGACAGTGTTCTTTTCAGTATCTCTGGTGATGGGGCAATAGAGTAGGCTTTAGTGCAGGCTTCTAAATGTGCTTTGAATTCTCTTGCAAACGGCTGTCTGCTGATTGCAAGAGATGTTAACAGTAATTAGTCTGAGTAACCCTTATCGTGGCTCAGTACGCATTCAGGCCTTTTATCTATATTGCTGCTCAGGGATTTTGCCAAAATCTAAAAAGCTTAGATCACAGTAAGGAAACAGGTATTCAGCAGGGTCTGCTTCCACTGAAGCATGATGCACTGAGCTGCTGGCTGTTTGTTAAACTTCCTTTGCAGGCTTGTAGCAGCCGTCTGCACTACTGAAGTAGCAAAATTTTGAAATCAATAATGCATGACTTGGCTTCTAATAATACAGCACAAACAAACTATTAGTTAAACAGCTGGCTTCTAGCTCTAAATGTGTAATCGGAGTTAATTGAATCCTTGCTATTTTATTTAATCATTAGTAACTACATAATAAACTCAGGAGGTGATTAGCAGGAACACTAAATGCATTTCTCATATCTCTTGTCTGAGAAAATGAAGGTCTATTTTCTAAGCTTTAATCCAGGCTGATATCAGTCCAGCTATATAACAGTAAGGTTCTGATCAATGTGTGATAAGTCAGTATATATCAGTGAGTTAGTTGAGACTTCCTGACCACTCTGAAATTGGGGAGCTGATGCCAACAGGACTTGTACTCAAATGGTTTTCGCAGCCAGCAGACTTTTCTTCTGAAGGCATTGTAGTTGGATGAGTGGTCATTGAACTAAAATGTCTATTTTGGAAGCCTTAGCTGTAAAATGCTATTAAATTTAAACAAGTGTACTTAAATATCTCCTTGAAGGGCACTAACTTAGAAATATTGACAAGTAATACTGATTTATCTCAGAGTCTACACTATTTGGAGTTAAAGCTAAAATATAACACAGTTGAGTTTGACCTGGAAATGGCCTTAAAGACACATCTTGTGGCATGTAATAGGTAAAGCGTGTTAGATCAGCTGCTAAGGCTGCTGTCTTAAATGACTCTTCATTTCCTCTTTTAAAAAATATATTGTCTTTCATGAGTCCCCTATATAAGAAATAGTTTTGAAGATACCGCTGTAAGTATGAGGTGCTACAAATGTACTTTAATGTTATGTCTTCAGTATTATATTGAAAAGGCCACTTCTCTTTTGCAGTAAACTGGGAAACAGTATGGAGAGCCAACACCAAAAAGAAATTTCGAGTTCATACCAATATGAACAGGAACGTGGCGCTTCTGCGAATATTCCCAGGAATAACTGCTGCTGCTGTGAGTGCCACCACGGAGGTTTGGAAGTGGATGAAATGATGCTCAAATACTTGATTAGTAAGCTAAGTGGGGATGCTACGCTGTTGTAGCAGTGGTTGGGTTTTAGAAGGAAGGGAAATAATCTGTTTTCTGATAAACATCTTCTATAACATCAGAGCATTCAAAGACTATTTTCATGGGCTACAGTCTATTAGTAAAACCTTTCAGAGTATCTTTTATCTAAACTTTCTGGGCTCTGAAACTTAAAATTGATTTCTTATAAGGGCTTATAAATAAATAGATGAAGTGTGCTTTTCTGGAGAAGCATAAACTTCAGTGATGGTGGAAATGTTTCTTGCTGCATATTAGGGCACACTAATACATACCTTGCCAAAGAATACATGATTGTGGAGGTGAGTGTGATTTCTTCCACAGCTCATGCTTGCTTTTCAAGGTTCATTTCATCTCCTACTGGTGGTTAGCATGATTCTCAGCACTCATACAGAGCTCAAGATGAGGAGTAAGATTTTCCTGCTCTGAGCCTTTAAAAATTGTTTTACAGAACTATGGGTTTAGGTGAATTTGTCTTCAAATTTTTGTTTAGTACCACTTCCATTAAATTGATGGGTCTTTCATGAGTGTTGCCAATTTAAATTGAATCCAGTAGTTTAAGAAGCACTCCTCAGTTATATTACCATTCTTTTTAGGTGAATATGAACAGATGGAAAGGCAGAGAGGTGGTATATTTGCAATAAAACTCCAACTGAATAGCTAGTCTCACAGGGACTTACAGTGTATTGTGTTTAGCATATGTGATCAGCGAGGAAACGTTTAGATTGTATAAAATATATTTTTCTAGGAACAAAAATTAGCAAGGCATTTTCTTAGAACGAGGCACAATAGCTATCATGTTAACAGCAGTCCCAGAAAGATTTTGAACCTGCATTAAATCAATTGCTTTTTGAGTTCAAAACAAAACAAAACAAAACCTCCATGCCTCAGTGGAGTATTCTTTCCTGAAAGGTGAGACACTCCTTCTCTTAGTTAGGCATATACTCGTTTGCAGAACTTTGCTAAAATGAAAAATCTGGGCAGTGGTGGGAGTTCTAGATTGAAATAATTCTGTATTTATTTTGTAAGTGCAAATCTACCCTTTTGTTCCACCGTGGTGTAACATTATAGCCCGTTAATGGCCCTTAAACAGTAGCATCCTTTCTCACACTGAGGTCACAATCGTGGAAAATAGTTTATTTTAAAATCTATCCCTGTAGGAATTTGAAAGGAAAATAAGAATTTGGAATGCACATTTTTTTAACGTTTTTCTTCAGTCCTTGTTATTGCAGACGAGGAGTACAGGAGGGCATGAGAAGACTTAGGCATGAGAACCTATAAGACTGTACCAGGAAAAGCCTACTTTTTATGACAGCCATATAAGCAAATCTTAATGTGATGTAAACACAGCCTTCATCTCTCTTTGCTGTCTTGTTTTTAAACAGGTGAAAGCATTTCTCCAGCCTCCAATCGAAGGCATTGTACTTGAAACTTATGGAAGTGGCAATGCCCCAAACAGCAGAGAAGACTTGCTAGAAGAACTTAAGAGAGCAACTGAACGAAAAGTAGTGATTCTAAACTGTACCCAGTGCTTGCGAGGGTCTGTTAAAACAGTCTATGCAACAGGGCAGGTGAGGGTTGTGCAATGATTTCAGATTCTACTTCTGTGTAAAAGACATTTTGCTGATACAGACGTGATTTATGCGTCTAGTAGTGCCGATGTATGAAACCAGATTTGTTACACTGTGAAGATACTGCTCGTAATATAACCATATTAGAAAAATATTAAGCTGTAAGCGTGTAAATATATATCTAAGAACACAGTCCTGTTACTCTTAGCCTGAATGGTCTACATATTCACCTCAAATCCCAAATCACTGACTACTTTCTCCTGTCATGAGCAGCACTCCAGGATACCTTACATTAGATTATTAGTGTCTGTCCCCAGGGCATTCCCTGAGCTAGAATCTAGCTTGTGGATCAGATGATCAAATAGAGTAATACTTGATAGGCCTGTGATTACTTAGACACAATGTAAGAACAGCAGGAAAGCATGCAAATCCAAGCAGTATTCTAAATAATCAGTGTTTATTTGACTGGAAGTGCAGCTGCATTCAGCGGGAAGGGGAACAATGTGTAAGGAAGCATATGCCTTGCAGAGTGGAAGTCAGTTGTATTTAAGCTGTCGATGCTCTTACTATTCAGGACATTTTCTAGTGAGTTTCTTAATTGTGTGTTAAGATATGACATCACTGAGATTAATAAGAGCTCAAAGTTCTATGAGAGTATGTGATACATATGGTGGTGTGAAGGAAGCTGGTTTGGCTGGCCTTTATAACAGCCAGCCATTATGTATCCAGGAGGCACTGTTGTAGGGTGATGCACAGCCCTGTTTTAGGCACCTGTTTTAGTTGGTAGTAGTCACCTGTCCAGCAGAGCTTATCCACTGACTACTCTCATCATCCACTGACTACTCTCATACATGACTGTAAGGCAAACCTAGGTCCTCTGAACTGATGTTGAAACCTGCCTATTTTAACATTGGTTTTGGCACAGCTCTAGGTTATATTTGCTTTAAGAATAAAGTCTGTTTTGAGCAGAAAGAAAAGCAATTGTCAGGGGTTTTTATTTTCACCTTTTTGGTATTCTAACTTCATATACTGTGATATGAGCAGCTCTTTGGGTGTTAGTAGAATTTTAGCTAAGTTAAGGGGGAATGTTTTGAAAGTATCAACTTTAGGAGAGATCTCATGCTTTGTAGCAACTATGATAGAATCATTAAAGTTGGAAAAGACCACAGAGATCATATAGTCCCACCATGCCCGCTAACCATGTCGCTCCGTGCCAGGCTTTTTACGTTCTAATCCTGACTGTTGGTTTGTTTAATTGAAGGTTCTACTCATGTCACTAGCATTTGTCTTACCAAACATGTAGGGCCATGCAGAAATGTATTCACTTCTGGTATCCATCTATTACACTGAACATTTAATACGTTGCTTCAGCACCCATTGATGGAGGCTGTCCTGTTTTCTTGTCATCTTTCGAAATGCTGCTGAGCAAGCCAAATCCTACAGAATTACTTAATGCTTGCTTTTTTCATTGCCTTTTCTTTTTCATGAGAAACTGTTTACTGGAGGAAGTATCATGGGTGAATGCTGGAAACGAACAATAATACATATATTTTTTCTTTAAATATAGCCTTTCACAGGTCTTTGCATGTGGCTAGGCTCTTTTTTACTCATCTAGTGTGTAAGCTGAGTCGTTGGTTTTATTTAATGAACTGAATGCCTGGCTTCTGAACCATCTGCAAAGCAGAAACTTATAATTGAGGAGACTTAAGGTATAGGAAGGAAGCTGGGAAATCCCTTCATCCTCCTTCCTAAGCCTACTGAAAAAGCACTAACTGTTATTCAGTTAGCTCTCCAGAACAGAGAGTATTTCTCATCTTCTTTATATTTGTTTTTTTCCATATGACTTTCATATTGGTCTGGGGCTCTCAGAGATGTTAATATGCTGATCAAGTCTCTGAAATATTAGTTAAGTCACAAGTTCCAAAGATGAAGTTTATACACAAGGCACTTAAAAGTAGATCAGTGTAAAGAAGCTACTGCAAGATGTTTAGCTGTGAGGCATCATGTAATGGCAAAGCTAATGGCCTATAGTGTATAGAAACCTGAATGTTTGCCCATGTACAATTTACTGATGGGATCAGAAATCTTCTTTATCTCTTATATACTTATGAAGCTTGCTAACCACAGTAAAGAAGCTTGAGCTTCTTACTCTGGTTCATTTGCTGGTGTGCTTTTATTAACTACCAGCAAGATAAGTTTAAAATGTTAGGCCATCTTTTTCAGTTGTTCTCATCACAACTGCGTAGATTACACATTTTAGTTGCATGTTCTAAATCACACAATGCTCGTGCAGCCTGAAAGGATATGAAAGCACTCCTGCTGTGAGCGCACTGTAATGCTGGAACTCATCCAAAGATATGCCCCATAAAAGAACGGTAAATATGTCGGAGTAAGAGCAGCCTACTTGGCAGTGTTCACAACGCCACTGGGTTAAAATGGAGTAACTGCAGCTTTTTAGTAAAAGTAATCTGACAACTCTGCGGATAACTGATGCAAAGCAGTGATCTTTCCCTCTGAGCACAGTCAGTGACTGTGGCAAGGCTGAATTCTTCAGTGTTGCTGTGTGAAAAGGAACGTAAAAGTATAAGCCAGCTTTATTCAGCTGGCTTTAGTATTTGCCCAGTATTTGATAGCTAAGATTACAGAAATTACAGTGGCAGTAGGAGTAAAAGTGCGGAGGCACGGCTGCATGCTGCATTCTCTATTGCTGCACATTCGTGTCCGTCTTCTGTACACACAGATATTTCTGCATGCTATGCTAATTGGAGCCATTATTTCTTTTCCTTCAGACTCTCGCTGATGTTGGAGTAATTCCTGGGTGTGATATGACACCAGAAGCAGCCTTAACTAAACTGTCATACGCGCTCAGCAAGAGTGAGCTTAGCTGGGAGGAGAAGAGACAGGTAAATATTTCAGTGTGACCTTGAAAGGCTTTAACTTTCTCATCTACTGTGCTAACTTCTGCTCAGCTGTATGCTTTGAGATTCTCCCTTCCATTTAAAAACAATTGGTTCCAGAGCCATAATGTGAACGTCATGTTGGTTTTTTTCTGATAGAAAATACTCTTAGGCAAAGAAATGTATGTAGATTGGGGAAGAAAAGAATTATCTGTATAAATCAGTTGAAGGCTATGACCAAGCCATAAAAATGCAGTAGTCTGCGTTAGAGATTTCCATACAAAAGAATATGTGTGGAAATTAATAAGGGAGGCAGAATCCTAACTCTCCTGATGTCAGCAAAGATTGTGTCGTTGATATTAGTGGTAAAGCTAATTTTAAAAATGAATGGTATGTACAGCCTCTTCCTTTACAGTACTACTTCTGTGAGCTTTAGGGATGCATTTTATAAGTACATCAAAAGTAGAGATCATTTTAAGAACCAATTATAATGTATTTAAAAATCTTAGCCCCTTTAACATAGCTCTTTCTGTCCATCGTTGTTTAATTATGGCCTTTTCTCCTAAATGATAAAGTTCCTGTATACAAGGAACACCGAGCTGTCAATTAGCTGGGGGGAGCAGCAGACTACAGGAATGCATGTGTTTCTGTGCCTGCATGCAGTGAAACCAAAATCATGACACTTTGGGAGATGACATCACAATGAGTCACTCTTTTGTCTTCAGCACTGAGTGCACATGTATATCTAATGATATTGGTGGTTTGGTTTTTTTTTTTTAACTGAAATTGAAAGAAATTTGATCTTGATTTCATGCTCAGTAGGAACTCTGAGACAAGCACGTTAGGGTACCTGTGACCATAAGTGGGTGACTGGAAGTACCACAAACTGTACTTGGAAATACTTTCAGTTTCAGAGCTTTGTGTTGTTTGCTGAAGTCCTTACTCTGAAAAATGAGAGGAGGAGAGGCTGTGGTTTTTTTTCAGTGAGGATGGCAAGAACATACTCTGTGCAACAACATGCTAAGCAGGCAGCATGACGTTGCAAGTTGTGGTACTGCATGTGTTTGTATATATACACTTCAGAAACCCAGGCTCTTTACTGATGCCCCCCTGGTAGACTCACTGACCCCTGGAATACACGTATACTAGCCTCTTTCTTAATGCAGACTTTAATCTTCTTGCACAGAGGATCATTTGACCTGGAACCGGAGAAACTTTCCGGCTGACATCCTGCCTAGGTGTATGGGTTAAAACTTAATTTGAGATCCAGTTTGCCAAGGCAAGATAGCTGAATTATTCAGGTGAGGACTTGGTGATACTACGTTTTAGGTACCACTGGCGCATGGTATTCCTGCATCATCTGTAACGTGTTACATGGTGTTATGAGGTAGTGCTGCCAGCTCCCTTACACGACTTGAAAAATAAATAACTTTTGCAGTTTCTCTGAGTTAAGCAGGACCAGTTTCCTCATTTGTCTCACTGTACAGACTCACAAACAGTTGTGTTGGCACAACTAAGGGAGCAACATGCTACATTGCCTGGGCAGGAATGAGTGGTAGAGATCAGGAGAAGAAGAAAGCCTGGAAATATGTTGTCTGTGGCAATATCCTCAGCTAAGCATATCCCCAAACAATGGTCTCCCAAGAGACAGAAGCTCTCCTGAAGCTGGAGTGGTTATTTTAGGATTCTCTTTCAACATGAAGAAACAAGGAATGTGCCCCTAGATACATGCAAATGGCTGCACAGCTGGTAGGTCTGAGTAAGGCACACAGGATTTTTGCATTGGATGCTTTTAGCATCGGTGCCAATTGCTAGGGTTACTTGTGCAAAGTAATGATCTCAACCTGTCAAACTCTAAAAGTGTGCCAAAGCAATTGGTATCATCCGAGCGAGTTACATGTACATGGGACTCTTCCAGCAGACAGCTATAGTGTTGTCAGCGCTTGGGAGCTTTTTTTGTAATAAAGGGCATGCCTAGACATAAGTGAACCTGGGGCATTCCTCCTTCCAACATCACATCTGTTTTTGCAAACTTTCACAATCCTGCTTTTTAAAATTCTAATTGAAGCGACTACGTGCTTTGTAGCTGCATCAGCAGCCCGTAGTGAAAGGGTGCCAATATGTAAAATTGTGAATGGCTTCTCTCCTTGTTCTCCAGATTTCATAGAGCCTGCTTTTCACAGCATTTTAGTTTCTTTATTGTCATGTTCCAGCAATTTCTACACGTGATTTGGCTGTCCATTTTTGTTGTCTCTTGTTTTTTCCTGCTTGCATCAGATGCTCTCACACTGCATACTATTCACACCTGCTTTGTGATTAAGTAATGAGCACTATGACAGAAGCTCTGCATTCAAAACTGGTTCTATGGCCAAAAATGTTAACAAAATCGGGGCTACTGGAGCTGTTTGAAAATCAGTTGGAATAGATGACTTCCACAGGCAGCACTGGGCTTTGTTTTGAGGCCTAAGCACAGTCTGTGTAGGAGTACCGGGTGTTGGCAATGCTGGCAAAAGGCAATATTTCAAAATATTCTGGTCTTCCGCCTTGCTCTGCTAATTACTCAATATCTTTGTGTTTTTAAGTAGGCTGCAGCATACTCCATTAGGGAACTTCTGTCTGCATATTCTAAAAATGGAGGTGTTTTGCTATGTGCTTAGTTTGGTTTTTCGCTTTGGAAGAAAGTTTTATTTGCCTGTCCCTTCCCCCCCCCCGGGGGCCCGCTCTTTTTAAACTTGCAATCTTCATGGGACAGTAACAATTTATTTAATCTTCTGTCTGCGTTCAATTACTTTCCATAATTCCTCCAAACAATCTTCTTAGTTGATCCTAAGGTTATTTTATTAGACTACTACCATATTTTCCTTTGCTAACAAAGGGTTTGATTGCTTGCTTTTCAGATGCTGAGTGAGAATCTAAGAGGAGAAATGACTGTTGTACCCACAGGAGCCAAGATCTCTCTCAGAGATAGCAAGTTTATTCAAGTGATTGCCAGATCTCTAAGTATCAGCTGCAAGGAGGTATATCTTTAAATATTTAAACCCAAACTCATGTAAATCTATAAACTCAGTTAAATGAACCTAGTTTACAGCTGAAAGAAAAATGGAACACTGAAACTTTTAGATTATTTTTTCAGTACCAAGTGCCCCAGCTAACCAGCTGGGGTGGAGAGAAAGGACACAATGACAAGCAGGGCATTAAAATGGTTTTAATTAAAAACACATTAAATTTGCTGTTTTGTTAGTTGTTTTTTTTTTTTTTCTTTCTTTGTAGCCCCATCTTGACTTTATTTTCTTGGCTGCCTGGCTACAATAACAAGCCTCAGACAGTTGCTGTAATTCAGGGTATCAATGATATGAAAAAGTGCTGTGTGTTTTTGTGGTCAAATGTATTGACAGTTTGGAGCAAGCCAAATAATAAGGGCTATAACAACTTAATTGTGCATGCAGTCATAGAAGGGTGATACTGAGGAAGCTTTACACAAGTATAATTTGTGGTTTTTAATATTAGTCTCAATTGGAAAATCAGAAACTATAGTACTGGTTCTTAGATACAAGCGTTTGCTTTCCTCTTGACATGTTTTGAGGGAAGATGAAATTTTTAATAGCTATACAAATACTGAATTTATTTAGTTCTTTAGTATGAGAAATGGGAGGTTTGGAAGTACAGATTACACAAATATCTGAGGACTCACATGACTGAAGTTGATTCATTCTTGACGAGAATAAATGATAATGATCTCCTCTAACTCCTACCAGCCCTGTTTCTCTTACTGTACTGATGTGTAACTGTGGCAGGGCAGAGATGGTAATTAGTATGTGCACTTTAAATGGTATATATAGATACCAGGTAATTGTAGTGTTGCTAGGGAGGAATATAAATCATGGATGGGAGAGATACAAAATGTAAAGTAAACATGAGACTTCTTTCCTTCCAAGAACAAAATGCTACCATTTTAAAATATCCAGATGACTAATTTGAAAACTTTACATGAAAGCGTAAGGGCAGAGTTTTTATGACTTAGATTTTAATCACATTACAGGCGAGGCTGATATTAAATGTTTGTTTTTATTTGTTTCTCAGGAGTTAGAAGCTGTAAGAGATGCATTAATTCCACCTTTGGCTTGTGCTGCAGCTAAACTGGGTGACATAGACGCACTGAGAGCCATAGCAGAAATGGTAATGTGAAATTCACAGTTTGTGAATAAGTGTTCAAGTAGAGCTTGAATATAGGAATATTGTACATGATAGGAGGAAGCTAATGCTCTCTGGGAAGCAACGATATAGGTCTTAAAATCAAGGTGCTTTGACTAATAGAACTAGTTTCTAGGCACTTCAGACTTTGCCTTCAAAACTGGTGTGTTCTTTCCTCTATCTGGTTCTCAGCTGCTTTCATTTTCTTTTGAACTGCAAAAATACAGGTAGATTAATATGCAAGTTCTTATCTGCTAACTTTGGAACACTTTAAAATGATTTGTGCTGCCTTCTTTCATTTAACTCTCTTTATGCATATTCATAGTATCCAGCTTTTGGATGTAAATCTGTCGTGATTTTAAAAAAAAAAAAAAAAAAAAGAACTTGGAAATTATATTTAAGTGAAATGCAGTGCAGTGTTAAATCAGGATTTTGGCTCTCCCCATAGCTCTAGCTTGGATTATACTTGAAAAAAGAAATACCTATTACCCTGTATCATTTTCTACACCTCTTTTAATTTTCCTTGTTCTAACTCTAGTCTAGAGGCTTTGATAATGGGTCTAGAAAAAGGATAAATGTATCTTGAAAATAACAATAAACGTAGACAAAATTAGGAGACTCTAGGCACAAAGCTGCTGTGTGATGTAGAGCAGCAAAAAGCCTATCTGAGGGGGCTGGAATGAGAAAAGGAGAGTGAAATAAATACCTGTACTGGTGCTAGAAATATCACTATGAGATAAACTTGTAAGCTTAATATTTTGGCGGTACAGCTTGTCGTGGTTTGCTGTACCAACAATTTAATGGGCAGCCACTGCCTTTTTACCATGTGAAAGACCTGTCCTTTTGTAGGGTGGAAACCTAAGCTGTGAAGACTATGATGGCCGAACTCCACTTCATATTGCAGCCTCTGAAGGGCATTTACCATTAGTTGAGTATTTGTTAACATCTGGTGCAACTGTTTACGCTAGAGACAGATACGGATCTACCCCACTGATGAATGCGATCAAGTTCAGGTAACAACTTCTATACCACTTTGTGTTAAGCTTATAAACATTGCATCAATTTGAATGTTAAAGTCCATCCCTATTATTTTGGCCTTGTGTTGTCTCAGCGATCATGCGTAAATGACAGCAGTGAAAATAACACAAAACAGCTTTGTTTCAAAGGATGTGACTAGCCTAAATTAAAACTATTTTTGAAATGACAGAAAATTAAAGCAAAACTTTGTACGCATGTGGAATTTTAGCATAAGGTGACTTATTGCTGCCTTCTTGCCAAGGCTTTGTCCGTAATTTCAGGTCTCCACTTTCTGCTATGAGGCTTCTTTATAAAACAGAGCCAAACTCATTTTGACTGTCAGAAGTGCGAACGCAGGACCCAGGGCAGTTTGTTTTTTTTCTGCCCTCCCCTTTCTCATCAAGACCAGACTGTTTCAATGGCACAAAATATACTGGTAGGTTGTCATGTTTTAGTCTTTCCTTTTCACCTATGCTTGCTTGAGTCTCTTGCTGGGTGACTTTTTTGTTATATATATTTTTTTCTCTCTTCCACCCACTCGTAATAATATGAGATGTCTGTGTGGCTCTGCCTGCTTTGTGGATTTCCTCTTCCTGTTGTTCTGAATGTCAGTAGTTCTTGAATGATAGTCATGGACAAGTGATGTACTGGTCTTTTCCATGTTGCATGCTCTTAAGGGACGGCCATGACATAGTGTGTAAAAGTTATCAGTTAGGAGACGTTTAATTTTAAAATAGTTGTTTTTTATAGCCTGGGGAGTCATAGAGCCACTGGTCTTCCAACGTGTTAGAAGCTGCATGCCCTAATCTCTTGTTTCTTTGATCCACTTTCAGCTCCTTATCTCATATTCAGTCTGTATGATGGCAGGAGAGAAGCTATTTTACATAAAGGAGCTTGGAGTGGTAGAACTGTAATGGTCTTCATGGGTGTCTGTCCCCAGATATTCCTACAGCTTTCTCACGTTGACAAGTTCACCTGGTCTTTCAGGCTGGAGACTGCTCCCTGGCAGGTCTAACAGCCATGTTTTTGCATTGGCTACGGAAGTAACTTTTTTGCCTGTCTCAACCACCAGATGCAAGAAAACTCAACAGGCCCTGTTAACTTGAGATTTTAAGTCCTGTTTGGCCCCACTGTGCTACTGCCATACCTGCTGCATGATTCCCCTATGGATTCATAAGTTGTTGCTTAGTCTTATGAATATATGAGCTCTTCAGTGGCAAACCCTTGAAGTCTTAAAGCAAAAACAAGCCCAACAGCAAATCAAACAAATAACCTCATAGCTGAATAGAAGTGGCTCTAGTCCAATGTGAGAAAATGCTAAAACGTTAGATACCATTAGATGTTCCTGCAAATCAGGCACCTACTTTTTTTTTACCGCACCCAACTACCGCCTGAGGAATTTCACATGAGCTTGTTGTTTGGATTCTTTAGCATTGCCACTCCTATATTAAGACTCCTGCTATGACTCTTAAGCTCTTTAAAACTGCACACACATTTTGATATTGGGAACTGTAAAAGGAAACTGAACCATAACCATTTTCAGTTTCTCTTTTTGTTTCAACTGCTGTAATGAGAGGAAGAGTTGACTTGGAAGTAATTTCATAATTTTGTGTTTACGATCTCCTGTGTACTCACACTGCGTTTCGCTCTGATAAGCCTGCAAGAAGATGGGCAAAGATCAGACAGCTTTATGTGTGTGTAATTAGATACCCACTAAAAAGATTTGAGCTACAGAAATATTTAAATTCTGTTTATTAAATGGTTGCGTGCTGAAAGTGAAGATTATCCTGATGCAATGTACTGTGTGCAGAAAGGGAAGGGGGAAAACCAACTTTAATGAGCAGTCAGTGCTTTATAATGTTTCATATTGTAACTTTCTCAATTTTACTGAATATTGCGTCAGCTTAATCCCATTTTCTGAGAATTAATATTTGCTTAATTGGAATATAATTGCAGTACAGAATCCGCTCATCTTAAAAGCAGCTTTCCTTCAGTTTTCTATGTCACATTGTTCAGCAGCTTGCCTTTTAACCTAGCATGTAAATCTGTGTAATGATGACTGATTTTCCTTTTCCATTTCATAACGTGTAAAGATGATCAGGAGTTATGTCTCTTCTTAAAAGCATCTTAACATAGTAGTGACGCTTATAGATCAGCAATTTGATCTATATAGTGGTAGTCTCTTAAGTTTGTTTGTTGTTGTTTTGGTTTTTTTTTACTCTACGTGACTCTTTATTTCTGTGGATGGTAAAATGTGGAGTCCAGTTCTAAATGAGAAATAAAGTACTGCATTTCCGCTTTTTCATTTGTAACTGCAATTTACATGTAGTCTCATTCACTTTATGCATGAAGTTAAACAGACCACTGTTAATTTAGGCCAGTTGCTTGACATATCAAAATTAGCGTTCCTTTAACTTCTTAGAGTACCCTCCAGGGATAATTCATTTTCAAAACAATAGAATAATATTTTCTTAATAACAGAAACTTTTCTAAGCAGGAAAATGTCTTGAATAAAAACTGTATATTTTATGTAGTAAAAGCACTTCCATTTACTTATAGCACAGTGGTAAGAGGTTGAAAACAGGGAGTTTCTGGTGTGCTGCTGTGAGAACATCAGATTAGAGGCAGTAAAATTACCTCCCACGTAAATAAAAATTTAAATACTTGATATTTTGCAAGGTTCCATTTACATTACTTCAGGAAATGGAAGGCAGAGCGAGAATTTAAACACTGAAGTGTAGAAAAGTATTCTGAAGTTTGTCCTTACAATCCTAGAGCATAAAATTCCCACTGATACTCTGTAGAAAACTGAAGAAGTGAAACTAAGCTCATCCTGCCATAACCATTGCAGTTGCTAGGGAAGCAAGCATTAAAAAGAATGAAGCCTGTCAAGTTTGGATATACATTACACCTGCATTTCTTTAAAGAGAGTTGGTGGAAGGTGTATACCCTAGGGCCCCAACCTTGCAAACTCTTACATGTGTGTTTGTTTCACATGTGTGATTCATGCCTTTTGAAGTCAGTTCCCTTCTGTAAGTGTCTGCCAAGTCAAAGCCTAGGATGATACGTACGGTGCAGCTTCGTGGTGGCTGCAAAGTCAGAGCCAGAAGTTCTGGTGGCTTAATCTGGATCTTAAATTTTGAGCATGGGAATGGATATTTGAAGACCACACTAAACCCTTTATTCTGCTCTTCAGTCATTAAAATACTAGTTTACTTTTTTTTTATTGTTATTATTATATATGTTTTTTTAACCTTCAGTGTTATCATTAGTAATAGAATCAGAGCAGGGAAGACACTAGAAACACTCCTGGTCTGTTATATTTTCCATTGGAGAGCAAATAAATGTCAGTGGCAGTATCAAAAAGCTAATTTCAGTAACATGAAATAGCACTGTTTGTATGGGCTGTGTCTGAGCCAGAGCCATGGTTAGGTAATAGAGGGAGCTAAGGAAAGGCAGACAGGAGCAGCTCGCAGGCACCGCGCGTGCTCATGGTTTTGCTTATTAGATGAAGCTGGACTGGACAAGCAGCTCTGCGCTGCAGGTTAACATGGAGACATTGGTCTTTTCTCTAAACTTATGCTTTAATTATCCAGCAGTTGCACTGCTCTTCGTTGTGTGCTGTCATGTTAGAAAGGGAGTCGCATTTGAACCATTGCCAGGAATTTTATTGCTCATGACATCAGTTAAAGCGCTGGTCCTTCTGAGGCTTTAGCAAAGCCATAGAAGAGCAGAAACAATGTCTAAAGACAAATACCTCTCTTGTGCATGAGACATATCAGCAAATGCACTGCCAGCCTCTTGAAGTCTGAATAACACTCTTGTGGGTAAATGTAAGAAGTGATAGGGCTGGATAGGGCTTAAGTTTTTTGAGAATATAGATGCCGTTTGAACGCAAATAGGAACAAGCTGCTGCACAGCTTAGCCCCACATAGTTCTCACATTGAGTGATGGGAATGTGAGTGGTCTATGCTTTCTTGCTCTTCATAGTCACAGTACCAAATTTAACACTTTTCAGCTAATTACTGGTCTAAGAATTCATAAATGTAGAATTCATTCTCCTCTGCAGGCTGAAAAATAGGATGCAGTGTCATTATTTACTTTCTCAAGGGGATGCTTGTGGGTGACAAGCTGTGTTATAAGGGACCTTCCTGAGAAAATATTTCAGATAAACAACTTGTGGTGCTTGCTGTTACAGCAATGCTTTGCCTGCCATGATATATATATGTATATATATTGAAATTAAGTACATTTTGAAAAAATACATCTGATAGGGCAAATAACTCATGTTTGGAAAAGCAAAATGATTCCCACATTGCCACTACAGTGTTTGGTTTTTAATTTATAAGGATAGACCTTACATGGAATATATAAGATTACATAGACTTAATCTGGATAACATTAAAAGTAACTTCTCATTCAAGATGCAGTTTCTTAAAGAGAAGCAGTGGAATTAAGTAAGCAGTTTAGTCCAGTTCTAAAATGGGAAGGCCTGTGGCTACCTCCAAGAAAATGCAAGTGATGTAGCACAAATAAGTGAACTTGTTATTTTGAATTAATACAGATGAGTTTAGGCAGTGGCTTGAGAAACTTCAAGTCTTTTCTTCAACACTCTAATTCTCTAAATATGGTCTAGTAATTTATTTGAAAGAGGAATATTTGAAATAGGAAATCTGATCTGCTGATGCCATCTCACCTTTTCTGGAGAAAACAGTATGCTTTTAGGTTTGTGACCTAGATTATTTGTTTGGCAGAGGAGCACAGTCACCTCCCTTTGGAACCAAGTTCCAAACCTTCCATTAGGCCACTCGTGAAAATGTATTTTGTGATTTTTTTTATCTGTCATGTTATTTTCTACCCAGGACAGTATCTCAGAGACTGGCCTTGTCCATGGCTTGGCAGAGTTTCTGTGGAAAAGGGAAGGAAATTTGTTTCAGAAATTTCTCAAAATCTGTGATTGTTTCTTTTTCTTTTCTGCTTTTTTTTTTTTTCTTAAAGGCACATACAGGTGATCAATTTATTACGAGAAACAGGAGCACATCTTTCAAGCCATGACTTGGAGAACACTGGAACAATACTTTGCAGGTAAATGTGATTTTAGGGAAGGTGGGGCCCTAAAATTGAGATGGAAGGGAAGGATTTTCCAGAGGAGACTCTCAGAATGGAGAACAGCTTTCAAGGAAGTTATTCCCTGTGTCCCTGGCACATGACATGTGACTCCTCCTGTGCGAAACTAATAATGAAAAAGCAAGAGAGTGATGAAATTTATTATCAACTCTGTACTGCAACTCCAGTAAGTCAAGAGGGCTCCAAAGTAAAGAAATATTGTCAGGATAAGTGACCGAGAAGACAGCACACAGTTTTTTGCAGGCAATGTCAGTCTCAAACAGTGAGAAGGAAATAGATTTTTGAATAGCATCTCTATTTGAAAACAAAGTTGCCCATAGTGCATAGTTTTTATTAAAATAAAATCCTCTTGTTGCTTGATGGGAGCGGCTTTAACAAGTGTCTTTCTCAAAATATGTAAGTCAAATGCATTTCAAATGCATTTCACTCCAAAACAGCAAGTGCTCACCACCTCTGTATTTAATTTTAAGCGAATATAATCTTATATTACAGCAGTACAGTTGCAGGTTTTACATACAGTTGCTGTTAATATACCTATGTGCTTTAATACTAAGGGTACATATTTCAAAAAGAAATAGATACCAGATTTTGTTCAAGGTTTTGAGTTCAGAATTGTGAGAAGGCTTTTATTAATTTCCTATCATTATTGGTTGTTTTTACTTCATTTCTTCTTCTCCTCTGAAATACAAACAACAACAAAAACATCCCTCAATACAAGCCTCTGTATCAGGGCAGGGCAAGTCTCAATTTGAGGACTGCACATCATCCTCAAATCTATAAGGTCTGGGTAGGTATGCATTATTGTAGGGACCGAACCCTGTTCTTCAAATAATTCCAGAATGAACAAATACAAGCTGAAGGTTTTGAGTTGTTGTAATTTACTCAGGGGAGACTGGATAATAGGAGTTTCACCACTGATATGTGCTTCACAGGGCACTGCAGGTGATAGCACAGAAGTGAGCACTTCCTTTGCATTGTATCCATCCATCAAGACGAGAGGAGTGGCTTAGAGAATTCCTCTGCAAATAAGTTGGCCCCTTGCTTAGTGCTGCACCACGTGCAGAACCTGTTTGGCTGCCTGACATGAGTGGGGCGTCCACAAAGAGAACAAGGGGCCTGTAAACAGAAAATGCTTCTGACACTGTGTCGCAGCATTTCAGGGACCTGTATGGCATGATTTCTTGTTCAAAGCTAATATTTTGCTTTGAGGTTTGGAGATATTTTATTAATGGTGGTAAGGTAAATATAAAAACAGCATTTTCACATGGCTGAGCTGCTGATAGAACAGGCTGTTTGTAACATCTTCCCTTCACCTGATCTGAAGTATTTTCCTATGTCTCTTCTATCCTTATATAACGTACCTTAAGGTGCAGTTTGTACCATTCTGAATTTGTCCCCATGTCAGTATGTCATTGGATTTCATTGGAACAGGTTGCTCAGAGTTGTGGATGCCCCATCCCTGGAGGCAATCAAGACCAGGCTGGATGTGGCTCTGGGCAGCCTGGTCTGGTGGTTGGTGACCCTGCACATAGCAGGGGGGTTGAAACTAGATGATCTTTGTGGTCCTGTTCTACCCAGGCCATTGTATGATTTTGTGTCTGCTTCTTGGATTTGAGTACAACAAAGCTGCTTGCTATCTGATACTCTCTGGGTTACTGCCCTTAACCAGCTCATCTTTTTTCTCCATACAGTTCTCTGTTACTAGAAGCACGTTTTTGCCATTACTACTTACCTATCATCAAACAAACTGATTTTCCCGTAAAGCCACAAACACTGAATTTTCTGCCCTGCCTCCTCAATTTCCTTATGTTCAGACTCATAATTTTGGGAAGGAGATAAAAATAAATGTGCTCTGTTGGCTCTGGTGATGTTTGAGAGGAAAAGGAGTACCCACCAGAGCTGGGACTTGGACAGTGTACGTAAGAACTCATGTATGAAGTGGAGATGCACAAGGATGCAGCCAAAGTGATCTTGTTAAATCTTTCATGGTTTCATCATTTACTTTATTTTGAGGAAGTGAGAGGTGTTAATCTGCTCTTTAGAATCACTCTGTTGATGCTGGGAATCTGGTCCATAGCTTTGTTTTGAAATGCAAAATAGATCTCAATGTTAGCATCCTATCTATTAAAAATGGCAGAATCTCTTCTCGTACTGCAGTAGCATTGGCATCTTTGCAGAAACAGGCCATGATCAGACATACTGGGACATGCAGCCATACTCTGAAGGCTTGTCATGCTCTACAATTGATGAACAGTTGCTTTTTGTTCTTGTTTTAGATAGGAAAGAAGTCTGTATTGAAATGAGACACTGTTCAAGGCTGTACCTCACAAAATTAAGTAGAAGCAATAAAACCAAACCAAACTTTTCTATGTCATTTTTTTTTGAGATTACATAAAATTATATACAATGGAAGTGCAGAAAATCTGTGACATTCTAAATAAGATGCTCCTAGTTTTACATAAATTTTGAGGGCTAGTTCTGAGAGAGAAGAAATAAATGTGTCTGTGTACAAACTGGGGCCAAGCTTACAATGCCTCCTGTCTTACAAAAAGTCTGCTGCAGCTATGAGAGATGTGGAAATACTGGATGAGAATAGCACTCCCAGATATGCTCAGGACGGGACAACCCATGCTTTGTACTTCAATTTTTTTTTTTTCTTTAAAAAATAAATAAATGTTGATGATGCATCCGAAAACAGAAGGTCTTTCCTGATTGTTTTATATAAGCACTGAAATAGGAAATCACCAGAAGAGCAGAGCTTTGTGTTCCTTGGAAAGATGAAATCCTGTTACTGTATCTGAATTCTGTAGCAAGCTCCATTGTATTTTGTTCTCTGGTCACAGTCCTCAGAATACATATTTAACTTGATCGGTAAATGGCTGCTGCAAAATTGAAGATACTTCTGTGTATTTGGATTGCTCTAATATCACAGAAAGAGACCACTTCATGCTGTTGACCTGTGGTACTGTGAGTTGAACTGCTCTTTCTGAAAAGGTGCTAATTAGGTATTTAGTTTCTAAGTACAGTTTGCTGCTTACAGTGATGAAGCTGAATTGCCCTGTGTTTGTAATAGCTCTGAAAGTTCTTGACTTTGTCCAGAGTGGTTTCCACTTTGCAGTGACATTCTGAGGCCAAGTGTTTGAGTGCAGCCCACTTGTTCAGCTTTTGGTTTGTTCATTCCTTCATTCTGGGACCTCTCAGTGTCAACAGCAAGTCTTTGTGAACAGTAATTACTGTGTTCTGAAGTGACTGCTAAGCAACTTCTCTGATTTGCTAACACTTCTTTACTAAAGTTTACTTTTTTCTGCAGTTTCCTTGAGGGCTTCCCACTGAGTTTCCTGTTAGACTGCCTTTGCTTCCTCTATTTCATCTGTTTTCTGAGAGGCCCTTTTTGTAACAGCAATTGTAATTAATGGCTTACTGGTCTTTTCTTCCTGACGTCAGACCCCACTGCCACATCCCTGTCTCCCTGAGTCCCAGCTGTGGGCCTCAGCCCTGCCCTGGGGCTGGCCGGGTTGCAAGAGGAATATGGAGATCCTCTTCACTGTCTTTTCCTGCACAACTTCTGGGACTGCTGTGAATGAAAGCTTCTCTCTGCCTTTCTCCTCAGGCTGCTGCAATTAGAGGCTTCTACTCCCCTGAAAACATTTTTTCAGGTACTTAAGAGATTTAATCAACATCAGAGGTGATTTCGGTCTAGCAGAGAACTGAAATTTTCAGACTTGCTTTTAGGCTTTCTTCCATAAGCTTACCTGACCGACAGCCCCTTGCATCTTCCTGCACACTCTGCTCTCCATTGGTCTGCCCAGGCATTCATCATTCCGGAGCCCGGAGCCCATCACTGCCGTTCCTCTACAGCAAGCAGCATTTCAGGCAGCGAATGTTGAACTTAATAGTACTGGGGGTTTCCCCCTCATAATGAGCTACAGCTTCATCTGATGGTTATCAGGGAGCTGTGCTCAGACAGTCCCAGCATGCAGCAAGGAGCTGCTCTCCATTCTGTGGCCTGGTGTGTTTTTATCCTTAGAAATGCGGAGGCAGCCCTCCCAGCTTAGCCTGCAGAGTTGATAGGGACAGGCATGCTCTGTGCACGTGCAGGCTGTGAGCCCTTTAGAAGAAACAAGTTAAAAAGGAACCTTAGGAACTGCAGGTGAGACCCCCAGAAGATGTGCAAAGAAACATTCTAGCATACATTGCTCAGAAAACGTTAATTCACTAATTTCTATAAGATTAATGTTGAGCTTTACTATTGCTTGTTATGCATGGCAGATAAAGTATCTTCAACAGCCTTTTTCTCTTTCCTTTCCTTTTTTTTTTTTATGCTGCCTATTTAAATCTTACAAATTACCTGAACTCAAAAAAATCATAGCTGGCTGTCCAAAGGATAACACGTAAATGTGCTGTTTTAACTTCTGGTAGTGTGCAAACTTAAGAAGGGTTTTTCTCAGTGGCTTCAAACAGGGCAGACTGATTACGAACACATCTGTTCCCTCACTTATTCAGCTGCATCTTGATGCAGCCATTGCCCTCCCCCCAACTCACTTCATGAGATAAATACCGTGTTGTGAAATATGAAACTGAATGACTTTTTTTTCCCCCTTGGTCATAGTCACACCCACTGTGTGAAACCAGCCTGTTGTAAGTACTTATAGCACAGCCTTATTAATTTAAGGAACTGATTCATCAAGCTGTGTTGCTTGCTCAGCTATTCAAAGCTGTTGTAATAGTGTTCCTTTCCTTACGTCTCTGTCCTGCAGCCATATTGAACCTGTTCTGGTTCAGCATTTGCTTGTGGAGCTCATAGGCAGCACACAGGAGCACAGTGAAATACACTGAAAGAACCAACATACTTGTTTTTTTCCAGCCTTGCAGCTAAAGGTGATGTGGATGGGCTGTACGCCTGGTACCTGGCTGGTGCAGACCTGGAGCAAACTGGTTATGATGGCAAGAACGCCCTACAAGTAGTAAGTGTGCACATGGCCATACTGCATGCAGTGCTCTAACTCTGTGGGTGCTGTCAGGTAATACAAATTTGGGAAAAGTAAATGCTGCTCTGGAGCTATAAACTGGGTTGCTGTATGTTGTGAACTCAAGTCTGGTGCTGTCCTCAAGTAATAGATTGTTGGAGCCAGAACTTTCTCATCTATCTCAGAGGAATTAAAATTTAAATTGGATTTTAATTATATTGTGGTAATATATTCTTACTTCCCACAAGAAAGTATTTGCATGTCATGGTGCACAGGATGGCAGGATTTATTCATGTTTCTACTCACAGGCAAAGGCTACAGGGCATAAGGAGGTTCTTGACTTCCTCAGACAGAAGCAACAAAAGAAGGTAAGACTCATATTTCAGGGGCCTGGTTTCTGAAATACGTGGGTCAGTATATGCTTATATGAAGGAGGACTTTGTATTTAAGCCTTATCTCTCATTTGAGCGCTGGGCTCAGCTGCTGTCCCTGCCTTGGTCTATGGAATGGAACTAATGCTTATTCTTCTTTTGGCCTGAAACAATAAGTGATTTTTTACAGTGTGGCTCAGAATTTGGTTGGGTACCTAAATGCTATTACAATAAATCTGTTGAGGGCAGCAGTATCTCATTCTCCTGGCCTTCCACACACAGTAAATTGTTCCTCTGTCTTGTCTGCTTTAGAGAGGAAGTTCCTTCCCTTGGTCACCCTGCCAGGCCTGTTTTGCAGGGTGCTATGCCCACAGTGTGGGAGCATGCCCTTCTCCAGCACAGCCACGGTGTGATCACAGCCTCCCACTCAGGAAACACTGCTTGGTACTGCAGCATTTGCAGAGATGTGCTCTCCATCTGGCTTTTTCACAGAGCACCTTTCACTAGCCCATCTTAGCATACAGAACATCCGGAGTTGGAAGGGGCACATGAGGTTCATCAGGTGCAACTCCTGGCTCCACACAGGGCCGTGAAAAACCAAACTGTGTTTGAGAGTGTTGTCAAAACACTCCCTGAACTCTGGAAGATTTGGGGTAATAAAGTCAAGCACTGCAGAAAAATAGGCAGATTCTCAATAGGCAGAAGGTAGCTACACAGCAGGGTGTGTTTCTGCACATGGCTCTCCCACCCAGAGCACAGGACTGGGCAGTGCCGTGGCCTCTCTGATTTATGTATATGGCTTCATGGCTGTCTCTGACTCCCGGCATGAATCTCTTTTGTGCTGCTAATGCATGAGGTGTGTTCTCCTGGCTGAACGCTTGTGAGAAGGGTGTGAGTCCCATGTTCAAAGCATCAGATCTGACAAGTCTTTCTGCAGTGAACTTGTCTGGGCGTTTGACCATCCTCAGTGCTGTGCTGTAACTGGAGACATTTAAAACTCGCCTTTTATTTCTCTGAACTCCTTTCTGATGCAGTATGTTGTGGATTTAGATATCTCTTCTCCAATATATTGGCAAGTCTAATACCAATTTAATTACTGGGAGGAGATGATGTCCTTTATTTAATCAAAAGAACATGAAATTTAGTTAAAGGTTTGGTTGCAGTCATGGCTACCTTGCTTCTTCCGTGTCCCATTTGATCAATGTGAGTGAATTCATGTATATAGGTGGGTAATTGCATTTAAAAAATAGTTGTGGTCCAAATGAGAACATGAGACAGAATCAGGCTTTTTTTTTCCTTTCCTGTAAGTTTGGAGGTTTTATTTCTTTTAAGCTGTTGAAGTAGGATTAGATGCAGTCACAGTCTCAAGCTTTTGAATGGAAGCTTTCCAGTGCCAGAATGAAAATGTTAAAAATGCCTTCACAATCTGCGTGGTGTTGCAAAGTTATTTCCATTTGCAGTGAAATCTGTCTGCAAAGGTCACTTTTAGTTTGCAAATAGGGAATTAATGTGTTAAATCTTCAGCTCCTAGTTGGATATCTCAGCTCCTTTGGTCTGAGCCATCAGTAGTGCAGGCGATCTCAAGGAAGTCATCAGTGATGCATGAGAACTTGCTTGACAGGCTGCATGGTAATCTATTCCCAGGAAGGTTTTGGATACTGCCAACTGTTAAACATCCATTTTTCTCTTCATCCATAGGCTGTAGAAGATGGTCACTCCTCTTAGAAATACCAGCTCTGAAGTATTAGAGATGTTCAGTGATTATGAGGAGAAAAAAGGAAAGAAAAAACAGAAGCTGCACACGGAGCATGCAGGAAAACTAAAACTGACTTAGAAATGTTCTTTACTTAGGAACACGTTCAGCTCTCACTGATTTTCTAAAAACAATATGCTGCTTTATGTTTTAATCACTTTTTTTTTAAAAGGAAAGTTTTGTGAAAAAGTGAGGCTGGAATGTATTGTCCTTACTGCACAAGCTCTGCTTTTAAGGAGATTTTTTGAATCTTCTTTCATTAAATCACCGAAGACAGTATTGCAGGCATGGCAAAAGGAAGTGCCGTGGTGAACTCGTTCCAAGAGAAAACAGTGGATTGTACATTTCTGTGTTTCAACTAATAAAATCTCTGTGGAACAATGTTGGTTTCACTTTGTCTGATTTTTGCAATGGCTTGTATCACTTCAGCTGCAATTACAGCAACTGTGAGTGTCAGTGCAAACAATTGAATCAGCCGTGGGCATCTGCCTGCAGTTGTGTACTAATCTTCACCAGTGTGTCACTGTAAAGCCTCACTTGAAATGAGTAGGATGCAGATGCCATAAAGCATGTTTGTGGGACTGTCTGAGAGAACTAGCTGTTTTGTTTCTAATTGCATCTCTGCCACATCCTGACCGGAATATAATCAAGATTGCTACATGCTGGACACTGAATTCTTTGGACTGGAAATGCGATCTTGGTGTTAACAAACCCTAAGTTTAAAATCACAACACCTTCAGTCTAAAGGGAAAAAAAAAAAGTGATACACCCCTTTCCAGCTATGTCCATCCCAGAGTATGTAAACACAGAGAATACTCCAGGCAAATGCATATATTGGCAATGGCAACTTTTAATTTCACCTTACAGCTGCTGCAGTAATCTGTGTGGATTTTATATCTATTTCATCTGAATGGAATCTTTGAAGTGCAGATAGTTGTTTCTTTTCCCTCTTTATGCTGTTCAATCTTCCCACAGCTATTCTTACCATGGAGAAGAGCTGCATGGATGACTTGCTGAGCTGGCTGGCATTAAAAGATTCCCAAGGCATGCTGCATATCAGATCCCTCTGAAACAGGGCAACCATGAGTGCACTCTGAGAAAATAAAAATGCACAGTATTTTAATGTGAAAAGTAGTGCACCCCTTCAATATGGTCACAAATGCTACAACTGTGCTGCCTTGTTATTAAACAATTGATGCTATATAGCAATAAATATGCTTCAGATTCAATAAAACTAGTATTAAATTAAGTAAATGAGATCTAAGATAAGCTTCAGAAATCATGCCTCAAATTCAGTGTCTTATCTGTAAATACACAAATGGAATGTCTGTAACAAAGCCATGTTTGTGCAAATTTCTGCAATTAGGAGGAAAAGTGTACAGAGCCTCCTTTTCCCATAGTTTAGACCTAGTATCTGAACTCTTGTCTAAAAGGAGGTGCACTGAAGTAGGAAATCCCTTGATAAACTTCTCTACAAATTACTTCCTTGAGATTAAAATAAATAATAAAAAACTAACTAAATAAAAATAAAATAAAAAAATAAAAAATTTTAAAAAAACCTAACTAAATAATAAAAAACAGATTCTCAGATGCAGTGACATATCTATAGCAGCACATCTCTGTCCCAGGATGGATGACTGCAGCATATACTGAAGCATCCTTATGCCTTTCAATAAGAACTGGTTTGATTACAGAAAACATTATAAACTGTGATGTTCTTATATTTCTAACATCTGCCTAAAGTAGAAAACTTCGGGTTTTTTTTTTGTTGTTGTTGTTTTTGTTTTTTTTCTTTTTTCTGGTCTAAATTACTGAAGCAGTAAGTCTCAACATTAAAACTGAAATAGAGAGAAGGAAACAGACAACCATTTTGTTTGTGTATACTGGCCTAGCAGTAAAGACACGAGGGGTAACGGTTAGAAATGTGATCCAATAAGATTGTTAGAAGCTTGTGAAGCTAAAAAGTGTGCTGGGTCACGTTTACAGCAAGAATAAAGAGGTATTAGGTTATTTCTGACAAACCGTTACAAAAGTACATGCATTACTTTTGTACATGCCATTAATGCATTACCTCACATAAGATGGTATTCCTGCAACTTTTTTGATACAATCTGCCCTATAAATAGACTGATATCTAAAAAAGTGCTCATGGGAAATGCGTGAATGCACATTTAACATCTGAGAACTGAATCTTGGTCAAAATTTCACTCAAGAACTGCAGCAGTCATCAGGTTTTAAGATAAACTTTGTATAGGGTACTGTGATCGCAGAAGTTGCAGTGATCACCCAGTCTACTCAGAAACTTCAGCTCTGGATTCTGTTGGGGGCAGAACTCAGTAACGCTTTCAAGATGCTGCATTTGTCTGGTTTGTCTGCTACACCCTTTGCTTTGTGTAGTAGACGTAGTAATCATAATTGTAGTCTCCGTGGCAATTCTGAGTCTTGTGATGAACCTACTTCTATACAGTAACACTTCAGCTTTACATATTTAGTGGTTAAAAGCAAAATCTTAATATTACTAAGGAATGAAAATTGTACCAATTTGTTCCTACCTATTTGTTCCAGTTACTGTAAGCAGCTAGGTGTCATGCATGAGTTAAAATATGCTAAGTATTCTTGGGGCAGCTTTAGATTTTCAAACATCCTAATTTTTCCCCTTCAAGTCATCACTGAAAGATCAAATGCGCTCTTCTTTCTTATCCAGCAGATGTCTGCTTGGTAAAGCTCTGTGGGTTCAGCAGCTGTACAATGCCATACTAACACTAACATGCCCATTCTATTGCCCAGGACTAGCTTGCTGGTCCTTTCTTAACTTCTCTAACAACTTCACCTCCAGTTAGCCATGATGCCCTTATACCCTTTCATGTCTGTGTCCATCTGCTAGATCAAACATCTAATTCAAGGATCATTTGTAGATCCCAGCTTGATATTTTGTACACAGTGGAATAGCATGGCGGAAGCTGGATCATTTTGCAGACTTTTGGCACAGAAGAGCTCACGATGTTTTTCAGTATCAGTTTTTAATGCTTAACAGAACATAAAAATGACGTATTCATTTCTGTGAGAAAATGACAGCAGTAATCTGCTGCTCAAACGTTGGATTTGTTTCTGGTGCTGGGGCTTTGAAGTGATGCTCTTGAAACGAATGCTGGTGGTGAACCTCTGCTGCCTCTCCTCTTCCACGGAGGAGATGCTGTGAATGCCTCATGTAAAAGTCAAACATTGCATCAATTTTAAAGCTTTCTTCACTTGGCAGACAACACCCAGCTTCCACTTTGTTTCTTTTTCCTAATGATCCAGCAAATACTGCCAAGGGATAGCGACTACTTGGGCTATGTCAGCACTTCTCTAACACTGTGAAAAGCAGGGATTTGCACAATTAATATGTCTGAGTTCCTGATTTGAGTTACAGCTTTGCTTTCCTGAATGCCACCACTTTCTTTTTTAATGATGTCTGAAAACATTAAGCTTCTTTTTGGAGATTCTCTTATAAAACTTCAGCAGTGGAAGGGTATTCTTAATTATTTGCAAAATCAGCATGTGCTTGCTCTCACTGCACGTTGTTTTGGCTGACCCACTGACAGATTGACTAGCTGTGTCTGATCAGTACTTGCTGAAGGACATCAGCTGTTCACAAGCCTTCAGTATCTGCTCATTCTTCTTCAATTCCTAAAAACTCCACTTCTGCACATCTTTACTTTGAATTACTGTGCAACAGCACATCTCATATGTCTCATACGATGATTTTGGTGCTCAGCAGGGAGTGACATTGAAATCTCTTATCTGAAACTAAAGCCTTTAACTTCCTTAAAGCAGACTTTTGCAGTCATCTGAACAGTATAATCTATGGGGATTCTACAAAAAAAGACTGTGATGTCAGCATTTTTATCTATTTTTAAGATGGGTTCAAGTAGTGAAATGACAAATGAGAGAAATGTATCCCCTGTGCACAGAAACCAAATTTTGCTTGGTTCTAAGCAGTAATGGTCCTATGGTAAAATCATATTCAGCTATAGGTGTAATCCCCTTCTCCAGGCACTTATGCTGATCCCTGCATAGAGCCTACACAGTAGTGTATGAAATGAAGTGCTTTTAGTTTCCATCATTGTAATTTGTTAGATCACTATAAACCTGAAATAATTTTGTAGTAAGTGAAAACAAATTATGAAGAACCGATCAAATGTGAGGGGTGTATGTCATCACAGGCACTGCTGACACGTTTGTGTCTCTTCCAGGCGGGCTGTGTTAGAAGTAAAATCATTAAGACTGACTTTCCATGATTCTTCTGCAGCTTTAATTGTGCTTTAATTTTAGTGACTCTTTTGGAACAGCTACTAATGTAGAAAGCTTGGGAGATATTTAAAATACCCTACTAAACCACACCAATGAATCTGTTGGACTCAGATGTTGCCATCTTAGATAGTCCATGAGTCAGATTAAAACCTGCTACTACTAGATTGATTATTTGTGCAAAGTGTCTACTTGAGAATTACTGCAGAAACTTCATTATATGTACATTTGTTTACCTGTGATCAGCTGAATGGGAAGAGGCAAAAGCCTGCATCTCAAAAAGTGCAGCTGAGAAAAGTACCTGATTCATAGCAGCAAAATGCAATGTCTTGTAAGCTGCACTAAACAGCTCTCCTTCGTTTGTCTCGAGTTGGGAGAGTTGATATAAATCCCGTGGTCAAAGACTTTGGTACTCAGTGTCCAAATCTACATTGACATCTGATCAAACCTGCTGCAGACGTAAGAGAAGCAAATAAAACGAATGGGGAGCACGACTCATTGCTGGCCCAGATGGTGAAGGAAGAGGCAGTGTCCCTTTCCCCTCGCCCAACCCTGCCAACACCAGCTGGTTGAGACTTGCTCAGCTGGTGCACATCTCGTGCTCTCCCACTCGTGTCTTCGGCAGCAGCACCTCCCTCGCAACCGGGATGCTGCGCTCAGAGGGAAGTGGCAGCCAAGCCCTGGGCAGGTGCCAGCCCGCAGAGTCCTGCAGCTCAACCCAGTTCCAGCAGCAAGCTGATGCGTGGCACCTGGCACAGCAAGATGGGAAGAGGCCAAGAGATTAGTCTCCGAATCAATACCACCACAACAAATAACTGTTCTCTCAAAACACCATATTCCACAGACCCTGGTGCCTTCTAGGTGTCAAAACAGGAGCCCGGTCTAACTTTCTTGCCCAGAAGAATGGCAGAGCTGCCTGCTAACTTGTATATGCAGCATTTCTGAGTGCAAATTAGTCCCACTAATTACATGTGTAAGTGTACAATGCGTGTGCCACCGTCCCAGATCCTGTTAGGTTCCAGTATGTGTTGTTCAGCTGCCACAGATCCTGCTTTTAAGACTTTGCAAGTGA